AGTGGACTTACATAGATAACTGCATCACGGTTCTCCATCATTTTTTTTTTAATGCGCACATTACAAATTTAAGAATGATCCATAGAGGCGTCCATTATCTCATTGCGAATTTTATTAGAGTGAAATTAACAGCCCTGTCCTCATTTCTAAATGACTGAGGCGACAAAGAAGAAAGTTATGTAGGTGTCAATTGAGGCTAAAGCTGGCGGATTCAGCTATTTTCGCCATACTGACCCCAATTGAGAGGAGTCGATCATTTTGTTAGTCAAACCTTCCTATTAGTGTCCTTAATTGACTGCATCGTCCATTACTGTCATCATTCCTCTTTGGAAAATGCAGTTTTCGTGCATCTGGAAAACACCGCCTCACCAATAATACGTTCTTTAATAATGCCCTGTATTTCTATACTCCTAATCATTTTATTTTATGAACAAAAAGTTTTCTAATTGGTGAAATAAATCATGGCAGATTTTAAATCGAAATTCATCTATAATGGAAAATTAGTCATGTATTTATATTCAAAATATAAAAGTTATTTCTATTCAAGTTGATTTATGAAGTTTCTATTCTTGACACTTAAATAATATTAATCAATTTTTAAGTATAATCGCTACTTACCGCTTAATATGGATAAGAGATTACATTACTGAAACGATAAGAAGGAGGTTTCTTTCTATCAACACCGATACTTTCGAAAAATTGCGAGGTTTTGATTCATTACAGAAAAAAATTAGATATAGTTGTACAAGCAAAACTTGACTACAGACTTCACGAAACGATCAATTTCCTTCAAAATCCAATCCTTACAAATCAATGTCTTTCGTAAATTCATCAAAATGTCCCATATTATGTCCGAAATAGAATTATCCATAGAAATCATAAAATTCACTACGTTGCATATGTGGAATATATGCCTATCCCTTCTATTTCAGTCCAATTAGTTTCTGAACTTCCTCATAAAGTATAATAATCGTTTGATTATTATCCTTGGGCTGTTTCTTCATAAATAATTTTCAGATTAATATGTCAATTCGATATATTTACTTTTTTTTATCTTATAGTTGTTAATTTCGATTAAAAAAAAATCTTAAAATAGTTGTGTTGAACATCAGCAGCACTTGAAAATCTTCGCTTTGACCTTTGGGAACGTCCATCCATTGTAATAAAGTTTAATTGGAAATAAATAGATTTTGGATATCTGTTCCAAAGCAAACTCGATAGATTTAGATTATTTCGTGTTTTAGACCGGAACAATTTTAAGCTTTGCATTTCAGCATCAGATAAGAAATTAGAAAATATTTCCTTTTAACAACCTATACTACGTTTTAGTCCGCGATACAGAATTCTTTTTATCAAATTATTAACATCCGTATAAATTTCGTGAATGGCTTTATATTGTCGTAACCTACAATTTTTTCATTTGCGAAAATTCTCAGAAGAAATGGGTCGTTTTTTATTAAATTGATTTAATGAGCCACTTAAAACCGACGACTGCCCATTTGCTTTGCACATAAATCGTGTGATTATTTGATCACAAAATCGAGAAAGATGAGTTACACAAACATTCTGTCTTTTGGTCTATATAACCTCATTATATAGACATTTTGGGGGGTGAAGGTCACGCCAAACGGTCCAATATAATTTCAAGCAAATTTTATTCTTGATTTTATGATATATATATATATATATATATATATATAGCGATTAAAGTGAAGAGCGAATGAATATTCATGAGTTGTTAGTAACTAATTTAATAGACAAAGTTTAATTATTTCCATATAGAAAATTCTCTTGATTTCCGAGAATTTTGGTAAATAAAAAATTTGTTGATTGCAATAACATTCTCGCACTTCTCAAGGCATTCTCGGACTTCATACGGGTGTTAAAAATTTGATTAAAAGCGATCTATACCGAATATGTAGGTTGTTAAAGGAACTATTTTCTTATCCCTATCAGATGCTAAAACGCAAAGCTTAAAAATGTTACGGGTCAGCATACCCAAGTGCCCTTTTGACAAGTATTTTCTACAGATTTGTCTAAAAGAAATTTATTGGTTAATTGTTAGTAAATATATGTACATGTATCAAAATAAATGTAATTTTTAAAATAAATTTATGTGATCATCAATCTTTTTATGTAAAAAAAAAAATCATAGTTCTTTAAACTCCTAATTTTCTCTGTATTATAAAAAAAAAAAAATTAATGACCGTGTCTTATTTTATTTTACATATACGAAGCGGGACGGACCGTAACGAAGACACCACATTTCTTTTTCCCAGAATTATTACTTCCTAATTACGGTTTCAAATAGGCAATACGAATAATTATAATTATATAATAATATAAATTGGCAATAAGGCGCTTTGTATATTATAGATTTTTAAAGAAAATTAAAATTTATTCCAACTGTGGTTTCGTTCCGTTTTTTTTTTATTTCGATTAAAAAAGATAAATATATAAAGTACTTTATGTAATGGCTAGATTGGAGAATATATATGTGAAATTTTAACATATGTAGTACATTTAAAAAAAGAAAACAGTATAACAGAATAAAGAACCGTGTGATAATATATGAAAATTTTAATTATAGCATGATTCCTCATTACTAGAGCTCAGTAATTACTAAGGTAATACTGGTTACAAAAGTACTACCAGGTGTTGATTGTTCAAATAAATAGCGTGCAGAATTAGGAATGTTAATCCATTAAGGTTTGGGGGCGATCGTGATTCCAAAAAGTAATTTTGCAAACAAACCTACATTGGAATAGCAGGTGGAGTTAGTGATAGCTAGTTCGCGTGTTCCTTATCGCTGGATGTAAGTTCATGTACGAGCATATGGCTCATCTCTTCAGAAATGCCCTAATTTCTACTTCTTTGATGATTTTAATACCATATTTTGTTCTCTAAAACTAATAAAGGCTTGCAGAATACATAAATAAAAACGTCACTGTTATTTACGTAAATTAAGAACTATGAAATCACATAATTTTAACAACCTACAATACTATTTTTACATAGCAACATATAAATAAGATCGGAGCTATCTTCGCTATTATAGAAGAAAATATCTTAGTAACCGAACTCGTTTGAGAAGTTAGTTAAAAAAGTTACCCAAAGGAATTTATCCTAATGATTCTATTATAGAAAAACCTCATATTTTTCAAAATGAACAAAACAATAACTTCAGATGAATTCAACGATATAATATATCATTCATAATTTAAAACTAGCTAAGTGTATAAGTCACTGTTTTCCTATACTCAAGGTCTCAGGTTCATGTATGTAATTATTTATTCTATTACATCAGCTGCAGATCGACCCTGATCAGTAAACCCTCCTGAGGCACACCCACCCTCCATAAAAGAGGGTGCTCTTAATTTAATAATTAGTTAAAGGGAAAAAAACTGGAGGTTCAGTGTTGGTTTTAAAACAGTACCCTATTACAAAGTAATGAACCCAAGACCATCTGTTTTTTTTTTTTTTTTTTGTTATTTGTTTTACTTGTTTTTTATTTTAAAACTAATCAATCAACAGCCACGTTGAAAAGCCTAAAAAAAATTGAAAAAAATAAAATATTTAGAAGAAAAAAAAAATTATATTTATTATTTTATGAATTAAATTTTATGTTGATTATCGACTCATTCTTAATAATAGGGTCTAATGTCTTAAATATTTTTGTAATTTGTATTTTTGAATATGCACAAAGCCAAGATTGACTAGAAAAACTCAATACTCCATCACTCAAAAACTCATCACTTCCAAATCAAATTGTTCTAACAGGCTTTGGCCGCTTACCTGTCGCCAAATAGTAAAAATATTTTGTATTTACAAAAATGTCTGTAATCATTACCATAAAGAAGTCCTTGATTGGACTTGGAAAAGTGCAAGTAAAGAATGGAGGGAATGCGCAGGGCTTAGGCAAGCCAAACAATTTATCATAACCCCCTCCCCACCAAAATTAAGTGGCTGCTCGTCCTAACTAAAAAAGAAATCTGATTCATCATCGGAGTACTAACAGGCCATTGCAGACTTAAAAGACCTTTAAAGATCTTTGGGATAGTAAATGATATACTCCGCAATCTGTGGAGGAATGCGCCAAACTGCCCTTCATTTCATTACAGGATGTGACCGATTTGTGTCACTTTTGACTTTTGATTTCTGGGCGCAGACAGAATAAAAATACGCGAAGCTACCTCCATAAAATGGTCCAATCTTTTGAAGTTCATTAGAAGAACAAAATGGTTTGAGACAGAGTTGCAGGTATAATAGAAAACTATTGGTAGTATTGTCTTTGGGGTTGGCAAAAAGGACCAATAGGCCCACTTGCTGGACTAAGTCCTCCCACCATTTCCAGTACCAATCATTGCCATGACAATGACTGTACTTGTAGAAGCTATTTCACTACACAGACCTTATTAGATTAACTTAAGGCTAGCATTCATTAATTTATACTGTTATTGAATTAACTTTAAGGTTGAAAACATCGGTGTGCACCATCACCATTTCATTTTCTTCTTTCAATATTACTTCATTCTCCTTGAAGAGTTCCTAACATGCTTTAAAATGAGACAAAAATTCAGAACAAAGGATATGTATTATCATTATGTTGATCGTCATTTTATTTAAATATGTTTTCTGCAATCTGTTTCTCATGATTTTTATCTGAAAGGAAGTAAATAAATACAGAAATATAATTTTTTTTGGTTTTTTCCCTGTGATTAAAATCATACATGACTCTCTCATTGTATTATTACAATTTATTACTTATTGTCGTAGAGAAAAATAAAATGTATTTGTTACTAATTTTCTTTATAATAAACTTTATAAATGTAATGGAAAAAATTGTTCTTTAAAATCTTTAGTCCCAAATGTATATCAGCTTCCTTGACATTATTACAAAGTTTGTTATATAATGATTACAATACCTTTGTATATTTTTTAATAGAAATATTAAGTATTTTATTTAAGCAGAAAATTTATTAAATTTCATTTTGTTTTAGGTACAAAGAAGATGGAATACAAGACTAGACAGTGGCATGAGCAATGCTTCTGCTGCTGTGTATGCAAGACAGCAATTGGAACTAAGAGCTTCATCCCTAGGGAACAAGAAATTTATTGTGCAACTTGCTATGAAGAGAAATTTGCCACTCGCTGTGTTAAGTGCAATAAGGTAATTACATTTCAAGTTGCTCTGGGAACATTTTTGTCAGCAAAAGGTTTTCTAATAAAACATTGTTTTATTAATTAGACTTGTCCATAGTTAGACAAGTCAGAATCCACTATTACATTTTTTATATACTTGCAGTCTATATGTCGAAAACTGTTGACTTGAAGAAAATTAAGATGAAAATAAATTAATATTTACTTAAATTCATCTTTTAAAAATAATGTTACAAATGCCAATAATAACTAAATATTTTAAGTAATTGAAAAATCATTGGATGAATGAGAAGAATAACCTTATTGTGTTTTATTTTTTTAATTACATCTTCTACTTCTATTTTAAGAAAAAATAAATTCCATAAAGGAATGATTTTCCACGATGTCAGTTTTTAAAATAAACTCGACAAAACATTTTTCATATCAGACTCATAACATAAATTCACTTCTAAACTGAAAACTTAATTAAATACTAACATTAAATATAATTCACAATTCAATTTGTCTTGAAAATTAATATCTCATCTTAAAAAAGTATCCTATTGTTTTTTTTTTTTTGTTTTTTTTTGAAGAGTTGAAAAATTCATTATTTTTTTTTTTTAATTCAATGAATCAATTTAATTTTGGTAAATTATTGTTGGATTTTACTAATATAACAATAAAACAAAACTTTAAAATTTATTTTTTCATTACTGAGCCATTTAAAATCTTCACTTATACATTTTATGGTTTCAGATCATTACTAGTGGTGGCGTGACATACAAAAACGAGCCATGGCACAGAGAATGCTTTACATGCACCAACTGCAGTACATCCCTCGCTGGCCAGCGCTTTACATCTAGAGACGAGAAGCCATATTGCGCAGAATGTTTTGGAGAACTATTCGCTAAGAGATGCACAGCATGCTGCAAACCTATAACTGGTAATTACTTCAAAAACACAAATTTCTTTATTACGTCAGTGTGAAATAAAATGCAACTTTCCACCGATTCTTACTGATGATGCTCCTGACTTGAGCGCTAAGTTCTTCCATGTTATCGCTGCCACCATGGCTACATTTTAAACATTCCAATAAATATAACAATCCTCAACTTCAATATGATGTAAAAAGGCTATATGAAATATAGTAACCACATTTATTTGATGATTTACAGGTATTGGTGGAACACGATTCATTTCTTTCGAAGATCGACACTGGCATAACGACTGCTTCATCTGCGCTTCTTGCAGATCATCCCTTGTCGGACGAGGTTTCATTACTGACGCAGAGGATATCCTGTGCACAGAATGCGCCAAGCAGAAACTTATGTAAAGACCATCGAAACTGCCCAGTTTAGCTTCTAATCACTTGCTATGTCTTCCCTCTCCCTGATTCTTTTCTCTTCTCTCTATTACTCTATTCTTTAATTTCTTAAGGTCCTTTAATTGTAGGTATTTATTTCTGATTATTATTTCTTACATTTCCTTTTTATTATACCATTGCTTCAGCTTAATAAGTGTTTTAAAGGAATAGAAATGTTTTGTATGAGGAAAAAGAGATTGTATTTTATTTGGTATAGTTAGCGCTTTAAGCCTACCAGAACACAAGTTAGCTGATTCGGGTACGAAATACACTATTCCCAAGAGATAGTTTGTATGATGTTATTTCATTTATGTATTTTATAATTGTTAACCCATTTTAAATATTTAAATACTTGTTTATTATTATAAGTTGTATTTAAATAGTTTTTTTTTTGTATTATAACGTGATACATGCATATATTATGTTTTGCGATTAATAATTACTAAATTATATTCTTAGCAAACTGCCTTTTTACAGTAAGTAAATAATTAAAAATGGCTTCCTTTTATCATTTGATCCTTAGCCTGTGTTATGATTGCTATGGCGTATTAAGTGTATATATATTTTGCTTCTATAGTTCTTGAAATGTAACAATCATAGATGCCAGACTTAATACTAATCAATATTAAATTATTTACTAAATCTAATTATTTAACCATAGTTGTTTTATTGCGAGCTTTTAATTTTCCATGACAAAACTTGTGTATTTTCATAACAGCCCATAACAATTATCAAATTAAAATAAAATGGTATTTATATAAATCAATACAATTATATTGTATATGAAATATATCAACTTAAATATAAAAAAATATAAAAAAAAAAAGAATTATGTAACTGAAAGCGTCATCAAATTCTAAATAAATAAAAATATTTTTATATGTTTGAATATGTTTTATATGTGACAAATTATTTTTGACTACCACCCATTTGGATAAACGTATCTATTTTGTGTAGAGTACTAATCCAATAATGAAATGTTTGTTACAAATAACAATGTATTTTTTGAGTTAAAGTTTTTAACAAACGAATTATAAATGGAGGGAACACTGATAAAAATATATATTCATATTGAATTCTGTAGGAGAATTTTATTACTTCCATAATCAGAATTTATCCATGTTACTTTCTTTTTAAACAATAAAAATAAAACTCTAAATAAATAAACATATAAAATTAAACACAGTGGCCTTAAAACGTTTTACCCTAGGATAGATGCTTGTGATAATGTTTGTCCCTGAAAATATTCTAGATATTGTTTTTCATATGTAGTGTTAGGCAATTTTTAAAATAGGAAAATTTATTAAATAATGATTAATAGATACACAGAGCTGACAATTTATTTAAAATATATTAATTCATTGTACAAGTTGGTTAAAATAATTAACATTGTAAATGTCTTATTATGTAAATACTGAGTATTAGCAGTACATGTAAAATTCAGAATCAGCTACCGTACCGCACTTAGTTTTAAGATTCATACCTATTTATAAGTAAAAGATCCCTCTGTTATATATTTATGTACATTCTGGTTATATTTATGTATGATATATATATAATGTAATGATATCAAATATCAAAATACAAAATAAAATAAAAATGTATTTTGACCATTAGTTCTGCACTATAATATTGTAAAATGTAATGTTGGAAATAACACAATAAACAAACACAAGCATTATTTTACATATTTCACCTCACAAACACCATGAATCATTTTCATTACATAGATGCAGTATACGAGGCAATTCAATCATTGAAAGTCAAATTGATTAAAGCAATTTTCATTCTGGTGGATAAATTATTCCTCGGACTAATACAGTGGTAGATGTTACATACCATAATGCCTGATTTAACACCGCTATACAAAAAGTCTACGCTGAGACAACGCTACTGCACCATGCCTTTGGACAACCTACTTGTTTAGTTGCCTTAAATATATTTTGAGAGGAGGAAAAAGTACAATAAATTGTAAATTGGAGACAATAATTTTATTTACATACTTACAAACCAGGATGTCTCCGTAGAACCTGGAAAATTCACACAATTTCATTTTTTTTAAACATCAAGAAATTTTCAACCAAGTCAATGAATTTGGCAACCAATTTATTACCAAGCAACAGCACCAATTTATTTTTTTCATTGTTTAATATTGTTAATAATAATAAAGAATAATTTTAACATAAAAACATTTCTTATTATTTTATAAAACAAATAATTATTTAATAATACTAAGAAGGTACACAAGACATAAAATTTCTTTATAAAAATTATAATTGATAAAGATAATGTAGTATTTGCACTTCATTACATAGTTCAGTGTTTCATAAGATAGAGAGAGGTAGTATTTGCACTTCATTACATAGGTCAGTGTTTCATAAAGGTTAGATAGAATAGAAGAATCAACTTTATTCTAGGACAAAGTCCCTTAATAATAACAATTTTGTACATAAAAATTAACATTCCATCTGGCCAAAATACATATTACAATAAAAAAAATAACTAAAAACTAAGTGATAGCAGAAGTATTTAACTTATTACATTTACATTACAGAACGTGACTAGACATCTTTTCCATGCTCAAAAAAGAATGTATATTTATATACTAATGATAAAAGAGAAAAATGCAATTTTGTTACATGATAAATGGCTACCCAGCTTCTGATTGAATTGTAAGGAGGAATTGGAATAGAAGGATTTTAAATATGGATAGGGATGGTGCATGGCGGATTTTAAGTGGGATGGAATTCCAAAAGGTAGTGGAGCGGACAATAAAGGAGTGTTGAAAGGAGGCACATTTGTGGAAAGGGGTATAAAGGTCAGAAGGACAAGATCTTGTGAAGAGGGAGTGGATAGATGACTTGAATTGAAGGAGATTGAATGCGTAGGACGGACGATGATTATGGATTATTTAGTAGAGGAATGTACCAAGAAAATATTGTCTTCTGAAGGAGGGGAAGAGCCACCCTAACTCGGCGTAGTAGTGAGATACACGAGAACGTCTCGGGGTTGATTTGACAAATCTTACTAAGCCATTCATAATTCTTTTCAATCTGTCGCCAAGTTCCGATGAGAGGCCACCGTACACTACGCAGCCGTAGTCCAGGTGGGGGAAGATGAGGGCGGATACTAGGAGTCTACGTGTGGACATGGGTAGGAGATGGCGGAAGCGATGGAAGAGTTTCAGGTTGGAAATTGAGCGGCGGGATATTTGGGAAATATGGTAGTTCCAGCAGAGGGTTTGATCTATGAAAATACCTAAGTTTTTAACTGAAGAGTTGAAGGTGATGGGTTGGTCATTTAGGTAGAGGAGAGGAATGTTGGTATTGGATCTGAGAAGGGGTTTGGAACCAATGACAATGGCTTGGGTTTTAGCAGCGTTTAACCTTAATTTATTTTCATTTGCCCAGGCACAGATTCGATTTAGGTCTTCTTGTATTTTGGCAAACGCATCATGCCACTCAGAGGGAGTGAAGGAGAGGTAAATTTGGGAATCATCGGCATAAAGGTGATGGGAACAGTGAAGGATTGATTTATGAATATCGTTAATATATGAACTAAAAAGAAGAGGAGATATGCTAGAGCCATGTGCCACTCCTGAGGAAGATAAAGGTTGGTTAGGGACAGAGACTGCTTGGGTACCTTGAGAGAGAAAAGATTGAAACCAAACGATAGAGCTGTTGGAAAAGGATAACGATTTTAATTTGGTGAAAAGGATGGAATGGTTAATGGCATCAAAGGCTTTGGAAAAGTCAAGGAGTACAAGGACAGTTAGTTTTTTGTCATCTATGGTGGACTGAACATCACTAATGATTTTGATTAGGGCGGACTGCGTGGAGTAACCTGGTCAAAAACCAGACTGGAAAGGATCAAGTTGGTTGGACTGTTCGAGGAAGTTCGAGACTTGGGATTGGACTATTCGTTCCAGGGGTTTTGCAAGGTTAGAAAGGATTGAGATTGGACGGTAATCTTCAGGGGAAGAAGGGTTAGAATTTTTAAGTAAAGATAACAGGGAAATTGTACGGAAATCATTAGGGATTGTGGGATTAGAGATTTTGTTCAGAGGACGAACAAGAGTGGTTTTCCAGGTGCTGGGAAAAGTGGAGCTTTGTAGTGAGAAATTATAGATATGATAAAGGACTGGGAAAATGGATGGAAGTGAGGATTTAATTAATTTAACTGGGATATTATCTGGTCCGAAATCTTTGATTTGGGATTTACAGAAAAGAAAGATGATTGGGATTAAAGGGGGATGTATGAGGGGTGGAGCTGGTGCTTGAACAGAGAGATCGGATGAACAGGAGACAAAATGAGTGTTGAGTATGTCAGCTGAAATAGAGGTAGTCTGGGTTTGGGTGGATTTGCCTAAGGATAATTTACAGAGGATTGCCCACATAGCTTTGGAGTTTGGTGTGCTGGATAAGGATTGTTAGTAGTGCTGGGATGTGTCACGGCGTATCATGGATTGCGTACTGTCTCAAAGCAGCTTGAAATTCATATAGTCTTTGGGGAGTCTAGTGCGCTTAAACTTTCATCTTGCTGCGTCTCTTCGTTTGATACAATTTTTTATCGCAGGCGTCAACCAAGGGGCTGGTGGGTACTTGATTGTCCTGACTTTAAGATGAGCATGACGGTCTAGGATAATGTGCAGTTGATTGGTTAAGGTTTCAACCATAAAATCAACGGAGTTAGAAAAGTATATGGAGTTATTGGATTAGGTCAAGATCGGGCATCAAAGTTTCGGATGATAAGAGATTAAGGTTTCTGAAAGATATGGATCGGGGACTAAATAGCGGAACAGGAAGGTTATAGGAGATCTGTATGAGATCGTGAGCAGACAAAAACGGAACTGGGTGCTGTGATGAGGCGAGGAGTTTATCAGGAGAGTCAACAATACAAAGATCAAGCCAAGAGTCTGAGTATTGGGTGTGATGGGTAGGGTTGTACAGAACTATATACAGATTGAGAGAGTAGAGGAGGTTTGATAAATAGGCTTGGTCGGAAGAAGGAAATAATAGGTTGGTATTGAAATCTCCGAAAAGAGCAATATTGGAGTAGGAAGGGCTCAGTGGTCTCAAGTGTTTCATCAAAGGGGATTCTAGGAGGTCGGTAGATGAAACCAATGAGCAACGAATATGAGGAGGTGGATATTTCAGTAAAAAGATATTCTATATGTGGGGAGACGGAAAGAGGAAACAAAGCAAGGATTTTGGATTTCAGGCTATCATGAACGAAAATGACTACTCCGCCTCCGATTCTATTTTCTCTATCATGACAGAGTAGGGTATAGTTAGGGAGTGAGACTTGAGAGGATGTGACCCTGTGTTTTAACCAAGTTTCTGAGACAGCGATTAGATAGTAGAAGTTGTGGAGGAAGAAATCTTGGAATTCATCTATGTGGGCTAAAAGTGATTGTGCATTGACATGACAGAATAATAAAACATTAGCCATAGGAGATGGTAGATTGGTATAGAGAATCGGTAGGAGGGGCGAGAGATATGGAAATAATTAGGTTGGATTGATCTGAGAAACACCGTGGATGCTGAAACATAAATAGCAAAACTATTGAAAAGTAGAAACTAGAAAAAATAGGTAAAAGAAATAATCTAGATAGTATCCTATAATCAGTGGAGATAAGAAACAAAAAAACAGTAGATCCATACAAACAGAAAACGAAAATATACTCTGGCGAACAATGAGCAATAATACTAATAAAAATAATAATAAAATAGGCTGCAATATACACATAAACGAAATTGAAAGAAATATTAAACTTATAACAGTTAAGTAAATAGAAGAAAGTTACTAGAAAATGAGGTAGTAGGTTGAAAGAACGAGAGCAGAGAAGTCAAGGTCAGAAGGTTTTATAGGTATAATATGGAGAGGGTTTAGATAGTTTTAGACATATCTGTTAAAACATGATCACTAACCTGTTAAAACAAAGCTCATTCATTTTATTGCATGAGCAGATATAGTCAGTAAATCCAGAATTTGAAGCGAATTGGTGTTGGAAGTACTACTAAACTACTTTTCCTCAATACATTATAATTTAAAATATCTTTTAATAATAACAATGAAAATATTGAAAGTAATTATAATGTATACAAGAATGTATATTAACAAAAACTCTGTGCAGTATTGGTAACTTAGGTGGAAGAATAAAAGCTACTAAATGACCTAAAACATACAATAACTCATCTATAACAATTCTTTGGCATCTCATTATCAAATAATGTGAGGGATCACTAACTGTTTGAGTTTCCTTTAGAGTTAATTCCTTATGATTTAAGTACAGAAAAAAAACTCAAATACTATTTATTTGAATACTGTTCTCATACAGATTATTACAATAAAATTGTAAGCCTGCTCAACTGTATAAGCATATAGTTTTAATTTATTAAAATTAAAAATATGAGAAAGAAAAAAATATAATTTATACATATATATTCTTTACATGGTAATCCTACAAAGGTATCATTTATTATACAAGCTTCATCTTTAAAAGTGTGACTACCACATGAATTATTAAGGGTTCTAGATACCCAGGAACAAAATGAAAAGGAAGAGAAGTTCAAAAATAATTAATTCTCTCAGTCAAATTAAAATTTGGAAAACAATTTAATTGATAACTTTTTTATTGTTTGAAATTCAAAAATGATATTAAACTAAATAATTATAAATGAAATGACTAGAAAGAAGTTTCTGCGAGAGAAAAAAATGTTTATGGGTCGAGATGATGTAAGACCAACTGATTCCAATGGTCTTGTCAATCAAGGTGTAGTTAAGCACTTGATCAAACTCTAAATTAAGTATTGAATTTATTAATAAGATCAAAAATAGATTTATTGAGCAAAAGTCATTTGCAACTAATTAAAATAACAAATCAGTATTAAAAAAATTACTCTTTTCAATCACAGATGGTAAGAGAAAAAAAAAAATATATATATAGATATATTGTTTATTTATTCATAACAAATCATCTTTTTCTAGAAAAAAACAAACAATTTTTATAAAGGAAGGAGATGGTCCAGTGTGGCGGTCATAAATAGACGAAATAGTGGCAACACTATTTTATTAAAAGCCAGCGTTTCGACCCGGTTTTGCAGATCTTCTTCAGGGAGGTATGTTCAGATAGGAGTTCCACTTAGAAATGAACAGTTGTAAGTGAAACTCCTTACTGAACACACCTCCCTGAAGAAGACCTGCAAAGCCGGATCGAAATGCTGGCTTTTAATAAAATAGTTTTGCCACTATTCAGCCTATTTATGACCACCACCCTGGGCCATCTCCTTCCTTTATAATGCAACGGTCAACTATTAAATATTCAACAATTTTTACAATAAATTTTATTATCATTAATGAAAATATTCAAATCAAATTACTGAACATTAATACTAATCACGGTAGAATGGTAACTAAACATATATTGTTAAATTTCTATCCACTATTCTATACATTGTGAAAGAAATATAATTTTATAATAATTAAAACAGAACAATCTTTCATTTGACCAAGTAATTGTTTTGAGTTATTTCAGTTGAGGTATGAGCAAAAAAACAAATTTAAATACAATATAAAGTATTTAGGTACTTAAAGAAATGTATTAAATTTTAATTTTTTTTACAATATTCCTTTTGACATATGCATCGGAAATCATTAATCAGATAAAGGTATAATAAAATCATGTTTAACGAGGATCTCACAGAATGATCAACTGTTCAATAGAGCTTCCCTTCTAATATTTATTGAAAATGTCCTAGCACACTTGGCCTTCTGCGTTAGTAGTATGTACATGATGGAGAAGAAAAATAGGAGAGGAGAGAGAATGAATATAATAATAAAACTGACATATAATAATAAAAATATTGACAGCCTTTAATACATAAAAAATAAACTGGTAATTAAATTACAAAATTAAAACTACAGACAAAATAGAATCACATAGTTTCAAATAAACAAACTGGTTCAGCAAATCTTATTGAATACAGTCAAGTAAGTACCAGTTAAAATATTATATCCTCATGAAATAAAAACAAAATCATCTTTGAAAAACTAAAATAAGTTCACAATGACTGGTAAGTGGAAACATGTCCACAGGTTGAACATCGGTTAAGAAAAAAGGTGATGATTTATCAAAGAAAGGAGAACATAAGTCTTCAAAATTTCTGAGTGCATTCGTATGCTCTGCTTTGCATGAAACATAGACAATTCTTCTTAAAAGATGGTTTTTCCTTAAAGTTTTAATAAGATTTTGACCTGAAAAAAGTAGTAATTTATCTTGAGTAGATATACATCTTACATTAAAATTCTAACAAGAACATATTTTCTTCAAGTGATATTTATATTTAGCTGCATCTAACTCCTATTTAATAATAAAACAATAATTGTAAACAAATTTAATAAAACAAAATTGAGTGTTCCTAAGCATACATTTTGAGCAAACAATTTTATTTTTCAATTGCTATGAAAACTTGTACTAAAAGATTTTTGGAGGAGCAAAATAATAAGAATATCACTTTTGTTTCTCTTTAAAAAAAATATTTGACCCCACTTTGCTCCTTTGGTCAGTGCGAATTCCTTCAATATTGCACTCATTCCAACCCCAAGGATCTAATTTGACTTTCCACCAACAGATCCAATTTTGATATCACCAAAAAAGTTTAATTGAAATTCCGTTGTTTGTTTTCCTTACTCCTTATTCACTGCTTCTTCTCTTTCATATTATAGGAGAATGATTGGTTCCCATGCCTCAAATATGTTAATAAATTCTTAAAGAACAACAAATATAAAAAGGTTTGACTACACAGGATTTTTGTTGAATGAGTTATTTGAACAAAACGTTCAGGGATGTAATGTTAATGTCAAAATTGTTTTGTGGACCCCTGATAATGGCTATGCAGGCACCAATTTAGGAAACTAAGGAATAAAAGTTAAATCACCAAGGGTTTCAAACCATTTTTAAGTGTATTTTGAGCACAAAATTACAAAAATAAAATAAAATATCAAATTTTTAGTAAAAAGCTTTGGAGACCTAATACTTGACTGCCAGGGATCTACAAAACCATCCTTACCCCACTGAGTGACCTTTAAAAATTTCTTTGTGAAGAACCACCTGTTTCTAAGAGTTATCTCTATTCCAAAAACTAAATTGTGGATCCTCTGGAACATGAAAATGGAAAGAAAACAACAGACATATTATTTGTGTTTTATGAAATCTCATGAGTCATGAATTAAGCCGAGAAGAGAAAAGGCAGGCCTCAGGAGTGAATTTTAAATCTTATAGAAATCTGAAATTTTAGTTAATAGAATATTATGTTTTTATTTACAAAATAATATACATATACATATATGGTTCATGTTAATATTATTGAGATTTTATCTTTGATTGTCTATTTGCAAAAACTCTGAGAACTTACCTACCTTGGACCACAGTCCTCTACTCTAATTTTGTTCAACAAATAGGGACAATGCACCTTCATGCTTTACTCTCATTTTATTTTTATAGAAGATGAAAGATTTTCAGAAATACGCATGGAGTAGAGTGTATGCATTCATCATTAGTTAGCAATGGAAGTTAGCAAAATTCCCAGAAATTCGACTGGACAAAGTGGGTGTCGCTTATTAGAAAAAAAAAATTTTCTCTATGACCTTTTTCTTTCCTTATCTGAATGAAAGTTTCCATCCATCCTTCCTTCTCTATTTTTTTTTTTTTTTTTTTTTTGGTGTATTCGAATTACTGGAGTGTTCGGAAAATAGAGGTTCAGGACACTGAGAAATTACTGTACATTTATAATTTGCCGAGATATGTTTGAATAGAATGATATGTATTAAGAATTTGTCCATTCAAGGCTTGCGATATATTAATTAATTAAGCTTCAAAGTAAATATTTTATGCAGAAAATAATGGCCACAAAATAATAAATTAATGATAGTGGTTAAATAGTTGACTGTCATGAATAATGAGAAGAAGAATAGTTGGGGTGATCAGTCAAATAAGAAGGCATTATTTATTTTGTCTTCTTATTTGACTGATCACCCCAACTTTTCTCCTTCTCATTAATAAATTAATGGTTAAAAGAAGCTATTTCTTGATAATTGAAACTTGAATTCTTTTTCTTTAGAATTTTTAAACCTATTATTTAAATCAATTCTGTTTCTTTTCGTCTCTTCTAACCGGTAAAAGTACAATTTAATCAAATACGCCTGCACTGATTAAAATTGTTCAATCTTTATAAATTTGAAACTATTTTGAAATCGATTAAAGCATTTGTCTATTATCAGAAGTATATAAAAAGGACCATGAAAGTGACTAACAAGACTGACAATTACATTCATAAGTTAAACATTTTCTTACAATGGTCTATTGGCTTAATGGACAGAAGAAATGCAACAGCACAGCATAAAAAACAATAAACAATAAAATCTAAAACTTAAAAACTACTTACCTACTCCTCCTCTACCAGGATTAATAAAAGCCACAAGATCAGAAGCAAGGTACAATTCTTTCAACACACCTTTTAATTTCTGTAAAATATAACAGAAAATTATTAGGATAAATATTATTATAATTATCACAAATATATAATTCTTCACAAATGAATATAACTTTTCGAAATTCTGCAATGCACATTTGAGTTTATTATTATTATCCACAGCTAATATTCATGAACATGTTAGGCACAAGAAGACAATATTGGGCGAAGGAAAAAATTTATTGTGAGATCCAATCTTTGAAATATTTATGAAAAAATAAATATTTCATAAAAAAGAGTGGTAAAATTTAATTTATAAACAGTTGAATGAAAACGTGTTCATTAAATTTTTTAAAAAATTACCCAAAATATAATATATATATATATTAAAGTATAATATATATATATATATATATATATATATATATATATATATATATATATATATATATAGACAATTTTCCATTGTCTATGTGTTGTTGCACATTATATATATATATATATATATATATAGAAGAAATAGATAGAAAAAAAAACTTTATTCTGGGACTAAGTCCCTTCAGAATAACAATAATGTACAAAATAATAGAATATTATATATTACTACATATATATATATATATATATATATAACTTACGATTAGACTGAATGACTGATCGAAAAAAAAGGGGTTTTAGGGCATAGTAACAGTACACAGGTTCGTGAGCAACTGACTTTATTATCTACTTTATCCAATATATATAGATACGGTTTGTTTTCATTTACAATGCTTTGTTAATCTTATTAGTAACACAGTTCCTATTATTGTTTATGGCTTATACTCAGCTAACTTATATATATATATATATATATATATATATATATATATATATATATATATATATATATATATATATATATATATATGTGCAACAACACATAGACAATCGAAAATTCCGTCTGTCGAGGTCGGTGTGTAATTAATAATAAATATTCATCACATTTATAACTAAAATAAATGAGCAATAATATATCTACAGTATTATTATGGTTTTATACATCCATTCTAGCAATTTTCTTTTTCACTGTCTCATCTGTTTAAATATAGTTTTCAAAAAAACAAACATTAATACATCACAAATCCAATAAATAAGAAATTTAAATTCAACAATAATAATAATCATCAAATACAATATAACAATAAAACAAACGTTACAATAAATAAACACGATATAGTATCAATAGTTTACTATCTGACTAATTGGGATCTTTGCAATGTGGCCTGTTGTACATAATTGCTTAAGGCTTTCCAGTTAGAACCCTTTAAAAAACCAACTAATTCTTCTGGAGAACAAAAGAACTTATAAACAGTTATTACTTAGTATTTTCTTTCTTAGATTTAGTTTTGGTAGAAAAAAAAATTGAAAGCAACCTTTACAAAACTAGAAAAACTTATAAAACTCTTTTAGTTTTAGAAATTTTTTATTTTAATAATTCATCAAAAAACATAGAAAGCAAGCGATCTTCAATCAACATAAATAAATTTACATAATGCCTACCAACACCATTTTATGGAATTTTCTTACTTTTAAATGGCATGTTGAAAAAAAATTTCATATCATTAATAAAACGGTTTTAGTAGGACAGGATAAATACATCACACAACTGAATGAAAGTGGCACGACCCAAAAACCGTTGTTTTTTTTAGAAAACCACATATAAAGTATTATAATTTATATTATATTTAACATGATGATATCGTATCTGTAATGAAAGTTTTTTATGATTTTGAGCTGGGCCATTAGTTGCTTCATAATAAGAATTAATAGCATTCTGGCAGCAACCACAACCACTAGAAAAAGGCCTATAAGCTACAAGGTTAAAACTGATTCCTGAGAATTCTGCCCAGTTAAAAATTACATTAAGCTGTGCCTCTTTCATTATACGTGTGTGTTATGTTATATATAAATTACTGAATTATTCTTCCTGCTCCTAAAATATTATGAGCAATAAAGAACAAGGGCAAATTACATTATATGTAAGTTTAGAATTTAATATACATTGATATAACTTATTCTCTTTTGTCATTATGCAAGGTAAAAGTAAAAATGTTTGGTTCTATTCAAGGAAAAATCACATTAGCGTGTGAATTTAGTGAAATAGTAAAAGTATTTCACTAAATATATATATATATATATATATATATATATATATATATATATATATATATATATATACACACACAAGCATGAATTTTATATTATATATTGCAACCATTGATAAGGAAATTCTCAGATATATATATATGAGAATTTGCTTATCAATGGTTGCAAAATATAATAAAAAATTCATGCTTGTGTCCTCCACTATGTATAATTCCCTGACTTCCAGCCAGTGTTTTTTCTAAAGTTCCTTAACTATTATTTCTGTTTTTTTCTCATATTTCAAATAATTTCCACAATCACTAACTCTCAATGTTCAAAGTAAATAAACGATTTCTAATTTCAAGCTTTCCATATGTAATTTAATAAATGAATATTTTTAGATAAATAAATTAATTAACCAATGCTTTTAAAAATCTATGGTTAAACTTTATGCAAAATGTAAATATGGTCAATTTAAAACAAACAAAAAAATTGGGATAAAAAATTATACCTTTTCTACTCGCCCAAGGATGAAGCTGCAATTAGTTATACTATTGTAACTGGCATTAAAAATTGCATCATCAATAGCCGAAGATATAGACTCAATTCCCACACAACCTCTGACTCGCCTACTTGCAAGAAGACTTATAATTCCTACATGAACATTCAAAACAATAACAGTAATGCAATATTATTCAGAAAATCAACTTAATTTAGCAGCTTAATCAATAACCTGTTCCTGAGCACAAGTCTAAAACAGTCGTTTTATCGGTTAAATTTGCTAAGCCCAAAGCAGCATCATAAAGTGTTTCTGCAGCTTCAATGTTCACTTGCAGAAATGAATCAGGAGAGACTCTAACTGTAATGTCATCAATGGTTTCATATAAGAATTTTTCTCCATACAATAATTCAAATGAGGCTTGATCATCTGTACACCTTACATTTTTACTGAAAATGATATTTCCAATGTAAATATTTCCATAAAATTCATTACATAACTTCATAAGAAAATTAGTAACTTTAACTACCTCACCATGCTTGAAAATAGAGACTCTTGATATTAGCCCCACTACTTAAAAACCTGTCTCTTATGAGTTCCTTAGATTCTTCCATATCAGATGTTGAAGCTCCAGCAGGATGTACTACTACTATCAACATAATTTCGTTTTTTCTATTAGACCTCACAACAATGTTTCTCCAATAACCACCATCGTGTAAATCATGACAAGCTTTTAAAGGTGAATCACGAATAAGTTGTTGATAGACCTATAATCAAATTAAAACTGTTGGAATTGTAACATTTGGTATCCGCTCATAAATAAATATAGTCTATACCTCAGCAAGTAACAAGTGGCTATCTTTTATAGAGACAAGTTTTATGGGTTGTACACAAACTACATTTCCTTCAGAGGGACTTCCAACAAAGAATCCAACAGTTTTATCATTTCCATCTACACCTCGTCTAATACTGAATTCATCTTTACTGCGATAGGATTCAATCAAAGGCTGAAAAAAATATATAAATCATGTCGTATATTAAAACATTGAAATTAAAACAAAACTTATTCATATGTACATATTGAAACTATACACCTAAAAATTGTTGGTAAACTAAATAAGGTACTTGTGTCTTAAGCAGTTGGGACAGAACCGTCCTTCTTATCTTATCTTATATCATGGAACCTCCTTTCTTATCTTGTGTAATCTGTTAACCTTCTGCTACTTTTGCGTTATTCAATTGTTTATTTTTTATTAATTTCGTTAATTATCTTCTGTTCAAATGGATATAATTACACTTTGGGAATTGCCATCCTCACAAGAAGAAGCTATCAAATACTTTCAGAAGGTCAGGATAATTCCAAAGGTGAAATTCCGTGAAGGTCATGAAATGAAGATTGACGGAAAGATCAAATGGAGATGTTTTTGTAGCAGTTGTAAGAAAAACGTATCTATAAAAAAAGTAACGTGATTATAGGGATTACCTTTTTAATGGCTTTAAAATTTATTTATGGTTGGTCTCATAATTTAACAACAATCCAGTGGAACAAGAGCAGTTTGTGGCCGTATCATGTTATGGGAGTAGGAGGAGGACTGGAGTAGGAGAAGAGAGTTGGTCCAAAAACAAGACATCTGGTCCAGACTCTACAAATCGTAACCCCACATTGCGCAAGCGGTAAAGGGGATAAAATGATTATGATCATGATCATGTTATACAGGTCAACTAAAAAAATTGTGAGGGTCTGGAAAACTGGTTTCAATAGACCAGTCTTTTTTTTTTTAAAGAAAAACCATGTAGGGAGAGTTCTTCCTGAACAATAGATGTTTGGCGGAGTTTTCTGAGAAACAGATGAGTGTTTCATGGTTAAAGTAAAGGAAAGAAAAGCAATAACTTTATTCAAATGTATTAAGAATAATATAGAAGAGAGAAACGCCATATATTCTGACTGCAAAAGGATACAACACCCAAAACTAAATGAATCAAACTACAAGCATTTCCAGGTGAATCACCGGTAAAACCATTTCGATTCTTCAAGTGGGGTCCATAATCAAAACAGAACGATTATGGGGCTCAGCTAACTGGAGAAATAAAAGACATCGATGAACTGCGAGGGAAAACCTGGATTCCTATTTATGTGAATTTTTGTGGCGGTGGGCTCACAGAGAATAGAACCCGTTTCTCACTGTTTTAAATGGCACCTACATTGTCTGCCTAACTAAATGAAATGTAAAATAAAAGTGTTTTGTTATTATTACATTCTTTTTTGTCTACTTCAATTTTCATAAATATGAATACAAAGATAGGTATTATCAGTATCAGAATTATCAGCGTTCAGGTTAAAAACATTGGCAGATAGCAGACCATCCCGACCGCGAAAGACACAACTACCCTAAATACAATAATTATATTAATATAATATTTTTATAATATAGCGTATTATTTATAAGCATGAATTAGCTGCTATATAAGTGATATAAAAGCTAACTATCTTATATAACATTATATAAAGCCAAATCTCTGAGTTTTGTATTAATTGGTGGAATGATCCAAAAAACATTAGGTTCTCTTTCTTCCCTAAGAATACAGAAACCTTCAAATAAGTAATCAAATGATAACTTTAATACACTCTCATACTTCCAGAATGGTTATGATTAATATTCCTAATTGACTAAATAATCTAAATATTAACAAAAAATACAATAATAGTTCTTACAGAAGGGAGTATCTCATGAATTCTAGTTTTAGACTTTGATATTCTACGTGATTTGATTGTTCCCACTATTTCTCTGGTCCATTTTTTTTTTAACATCAACTGTTCAGCATAATCCATATCCCATAAAGGAGCCACTACTCGAGAAAGGATTTCATACTGATTTTCAGTAGTCACTGCTGGTAATTCTTTCTGCAAAATCAAAAGATGAAAATTGAAAAAGATGCAAAATAAATCAAAAGTAAGATATGCTATAATAATAACTGGTCTCATGCTATGGTCAATTTATCACCTTAACTTGTGGAATTATCTCATGGAGATGTTTTCTTAAACATTGGGGGGTATTTTTCAGATAGGAAAATAATAGTTTTTGAGGATGTGATATTAGAAGAGTCATTATCACAAAATAATTTCCCAAGTACACTCATATAAAAACAATAATAATAAAATTATATTTTCATATGTATTTTCAACATTAATAAATTAATGTAGTAAATTTGTAATAAACATTGAAACCGCCTCTAAGGTTACATTCATCACACTTAGTACCTTTCCAAAGAACTTTCGTTGTCGGATGTAATCTAGTGGCATTTCACAGTTTGGAATTGAATTTGATTTAGAACATGTCAAGTGTAATATTCTTACTAATTTAAATTATTAGAAATTCATTAAAAATAAATGAAAAAAAAATGTAACTAACATGGTCTATATTTATTTAAATGCCAAGAAAGATCACCCATAATACTATCTACAAATTCAGTGATAGCATTCAAGTTTATTCACAATATTTTTAGAAGATTAGAATAGAGCACATCCTTTGATGTCCCAGAATTTGAAACAATAATGTTTTAGTCTATTCAATTAGACGTTTTGAATAAGTGAATATCTGTTTTATTCACGTTTTCATGGAGAAAATAAAGCCCTTTCGAAAATTGGCATTTAAGTGCCAGCTGAATAGTTCCTGTTTTCTCGGATATGTGTTTATCATTGTATGATACGAGAACAATACTCATTGCCTATGATAACTGAACATGGCATTGCTAGTTTATTACCCTGAATTTTATGTGATTCAGTTTTCGAGTACGAAAACCCCGCCCCCCTAATTCCTAAGACAGTTGTTCCACGAGGAATGTTTACCAAAACAATTAGATAAGGATCAATTGTAAAAAATATTTGTACATAATGTTCAATTTTCACGAGAAATATTTTGTAGCCCAACTAGTGCAGTTATCGCAGCGTTACTTATGCAATGTATGGCTGGGCATTGTCGTAAAAAAAGAATGTTACCTCCCCCAATTAATTAATAATCAAAACAAAGACATTACATCTTCCGATGTACGACCATAGGCGTTGGTTTCTATTGAGATCAATATGGTCTCACTAACAGTGGGTACTTCAATGTTCAATGGTGTATTCCCAATGTTTAGTCCGCACAAGTACTTTATATTTTTATGGTTCTGAACGAGCGTAAAGTAATTTTAAACTTTGCATAATTGTATCTACAAATTGTGCAACTTCAGATAAAGGAATGTTACTGATCTCTATGGTAAGGTCTGAAGTTTTAGAAAATTGGTTTTATTTTTTAACATGTCTCATACCAATCTTATTAGAATTCTCAATTGAGTTGATAATTCGCGAAGACTAAGTTTTTACGAGTACTTATCTAAAATGGATGTGGATTTACATTTTATCAATAAATTGTGTTAGTAAACTTAAACGAAAGATTAAACCTATAATCCCTATCAAACCCAATCCCCAATGTCCATATAATCAAACTAACAATTATATAGACATTTGTACTATGAATACAACGTTCAAGAATATTTCTTCAATAATATTGACCTTGTAAGGTGGGTTTTATGGAAACACTTATCAATCAAAATCAGTTGTAGAGAACTTCCGATATGTGGACCTCAGTTATTAATAATTTGATGGGGTTCATCAACTTTTTCGCTATAAATAATTGTCTGTTAGTAGAAGTCTCCCTTTATATTTCTCTCCTGCCCCACTAATAGAAACAGGACAACACCCATGTGTATGACAACGATTTCTAAACCTTGGTTTCAAATGCAGGCTTTGAGAATTAACTAAGTGGCTCGCCTTTGTGTAGCCACTGATCACAACGCCTTTAGTTATCATATAATATCCATTGCTTGTCATACGTCAAGTTTGTTTACGTATACGATCGAGAAATAAAGATGACCAATTTTAATGTATCGTACAGATTTCAAAGAGGTGATTTTTTTCGGTGTTTGTACAGTTCGGATAGCACTCACTTGAAGAGGTTTTTGTTTTTCTAATTGCCTCTGTGTTAAGTTGGGATGCTGGAATGTTCATGCCTAGTTCTTCGGTCATTTCTCGTGTTGTTCTGTTTGGATTCGCTTGCAATATTGGTCTGGTGATTGATGTAAACATCAGGGGGGCGGGCTAGCCGAGGAGGATAACACGTTTTCAAACCCTTGTCGCTTAGCAGACTGATAGCCTGTAGATCCCGAGTTCGAGTCCTGTTTCCGTGACATTTAATCCTAGTATCAATCCCCCGTCCTGGCCTAGAAAAAACCTTTATAGCCGAAAAGGAGAAATAGGGAAGGAAAAAAAAATTCAACTACAAATCTCCCAGTAATTTGCTTAGTATTGTCAAATTTCTTTTAATTTTATAAATTAGAGTGCTATCAATGGGTAGTTTCTCAACAAGCGTTCTTATGTGATTATATTCCTCTGTACACATTTACTTGATGTATTTATACTAATACAGTTGTAGATATCGTAAATAAATTTTAAAAAATATAAAAATAAACTTTGTGAATATGACTCTTGACGTATTCTTTTCAAAACCTTTAACAGATAGAACAATGCATTTTTATTATTTGCATTCAAGATGAAATAGAGAGCATACAATAAGATTTATTGTGAAATATCTAGATTTAATTAAGAGGATTAATTTTGTTTGCATAATTGGTTTTAAATTAGGAATGGCTGAAGCCTGTATTTTTTTTTAATTGTTTACTAACTCGATAAAATATTCCTTTTTAATGAATTTTCATTGGAGTGGGTTTCCTAGCAACTAAAAGATAGTTGAAACGAAATAATATTGGATTGCAAAATGCTTCTTGTTTTTTCTTGTCTCTTTGTCCCGAGATACTACATTAACTACCTGTGTTGATAAAGTTGGTTTTAATCCACTTACTTTAGATGCCTGGATTAAATGACTCAAAAAGAAATCAAATAATCTTATTCCAATTTTTACATGAAGCTTCGTTATTAAATAATGATTTAGTCTTAATAAAGCTACAATCTAACCATAACCTTCATACTTCAGGAAGATAAAAGTTATGACTCATTTGCTCACTTTCAGTTCCATGAGTTCTTAATTTAATATTTATGTTATTCACCTACTATTAAGCACTTATCAAAAAGAGGACCAGTTAGTAAATACACTATTTTCTCGATTTTTAAGTTATCACAGTAATAACTGTCAACCTCTAATTTTGTATGGAATAAGTTACTATTTAATTATGTGATTTGAAAAAAAAGGAATGTATTTTTCTTATTAATACAGTATGGAACAAAATGAGAAAGACCCTCTAATTAAAGTTTCTTCTGGCTCATTGTCCTATAGGACAGAAGAAGTAATTTAAAAGTTAATTTAAAATGTGTAAGTTTTAACATTTATTCAATGCTCTTTGACTCAGTTTATAATTTTGGTGATTAGGTAGTGACAACGAATGATGAAACGAATGCTGAATCAAGTTCATGGCCTCCAAGAAAACAGAATAGAAGTACAGAAACCGTTGCTGTTGGTTCTCTGGATGTACTATCTGCTAAATACGAAGTAAATATATATGTATATTTCTTGATGTATTGTTACGTATTATTAAATACAACTATTAATTTTAATCTCTTTTTATCAGAGCCTCGACTATGAGGTATGTGAAAACCATCTATTCCTCGAAGAGGAAAGGAAAACAGGATACTCATTTTATATAAGGAAAAATGTTGCCAGATGGTTTATTTTTTTATTGATAGGAGTATGCACAGCAATTCTTGGTGTCATAATAGATATCACCATTGACGTGCTATCTCATATTAAATATGGCTACATTAAAGATTGTATCCTTTTCAACACATTATGCAATTTTCAATGATGTTCTTTAAAATGATTATATTTTTATGTGTTTTTTAAAATATATTTTTTCCTGAATTAAATTTAGATATTGACCATTGTTTGACTGAAGACTGCTTATATGTGCCTTATCTTGTGTGGTTAGGATTCAATGTTGGAATTGTTTTAATCGGGTCATTTCTGGTGGCTTTTGTCGAGGTTATTTTATTTATAAATTAAATTATATTTAATTAAGTTTCTAGATGTGACAAATAATAAGGACTAAGAATTTTTTAGCCGGTTGCTGCTGGAAGTGGTATTCCACAAGTTAAATGTTATCTAAATGGAGTTAATATGCCTCGCCTGCTTCGTATCAAGACTCTTGTGGTAAAGGTTATAGGTGTTATTTCAACAGTCGCAGGAGGACTTGCTGGGGGAAAGGTAGACTATTGAAGTCTTTTGATTTTTTTGTTATAAGTTTAGATAAAAAAATATATATTGATAATTTTTCTTTGTAGTTAATGGTAACAGTAACTATGAGTAGAAGTCATTGAGCTAATACTTATTATTCTGACCACAACAAACCAAAAATAACAAATTAGAGATCAAAGATGATTATTTACTGATCACTCTGTTAATGAATAAAATAAATAGTCAAATTAAATTTTCTAAAAAAAAATCTAATTATCATAAAACTGTTATGAGAAAATAATTAAATAAAAAAATTAATGACAAGATAAAAAAAAAAAAATAAACGGTGGGCACAGAATACTATATAAATGATATACCTTGTGGATCAAGAGATGTTATTTAAGAGAGTTATCAAATCTTGATTTGTTTTGCAAATAGATTAATAGATTTTTAGTTTATATATTGTTTTGTTTCTTTAGGAAGGACCCATGATTCATGCAGGAGCTGTTGTTGCTGCTGGTCTCTCTCAAGGAAAAAGCAGTTCTGCTAATAAAGACTTTGGGTTTTTTTATTACTTTAGAGAAGATCATGAAAAACGAGACTTTGTCTCAGGGGGAGCAGCTGCAGGTGTAGCCGCAGCTTTTGGTGCTCCTGTTGGTATGACTTTAGTTTGATTATCTACTCAAAATATCTAATTTTGATATAATTAAAGATTTTTTATTTATTATTTTTGCTTACTACAAGTATTTTTCAGGCGGTGTTCTGTTTAGTCTTGAGGAAGGAAGCAGTTTTTGGAATCAAAGCTTGACTTGGAGGATATTTTTTGCTTCATCAGTTTGTACATTTACCCTAAATATAATTCTAAGTAGCTACCATGGTCATCCAGGTGAGTAATAATGTGGTTTGAGTCAGTTTATTTGTATCTATTTTTTTTTTTTTTTAAATGTTATCTTAGATAGTAGTTGATCTCTCATCTATGTTCTCATAGGTATATTTTTCGGTTCTCAGGAGTAATGGATTTTGACTAAGTATAAAAAAAAAAAAGAGAGAGTTTCAAAGGATAATTGGGAAATAGGGAAATCAGATATTACAGATGACTTACAGTATAGAGTATACATGGTCACCAATGCAATACATTGGAACATTAAAGGTGCTTGATCTGTCTCTTTGTGGGCGCTATCCTTAACACAACCATGGAGAGAAAGGTCTACAAGACCTGGTGGTCCAATGAAAAGTAGAGATGTGCCAAGGGGCCTAGTGGACTAATACTGCATAGCACCGCAATTGACCAGCTACCTGATATATGAGATAATTTGATAAAAAATAATTACGAGTTCACCTCTGGGTGCCGATGGGGTCTTTTAACTTTGCCATTAATTGCCCACTCTTACCCTTACCCTCACCCGGGAAAACCCCCTTATAGCTTAAAAAGCTAGGACAAAAAAAAATAAAAGTGGAGATGTGACTAGAAGAATAATACACTTCATAATGAGTATGAGTCCAAAGTGAAGTGGAAGATCGCCGATCTCTACAAGAGAGGGAGCAGAATCAGCAGCTGCCTTTGTCACATAGGAAGGTACTGGAGAGTCTCATTTTAACCAATCCATGACCTAGTATTAACTAGGAAAAGGCTACAGGATTCTACTTTGTTATTCTAAGGGGACTTAGTCCCAGAATAAAGTTCTATTTTATTCTATTCTGCAAAGGAAAATGGAACTGTTGATACCCTGCTTCAAGTGTACACGGACATATAACAAAAGATGGAGTGGTATGTCATGTTCCTGTTTTTCGACATTTCCTCTGCCTTTGACAGCGTCTGGTGACCATTAGTGCTTTAGCAGCTACAGAAGCACGAAGTCCACTTGCAATGCCATCATAAGAAGCTACCTCCAAAAAAAGGTTTGTAAGGTCAGAGGTAGTTCCTATGAAACAGAAGCTTCCATTAAGAGGGAATACCCTTATGGAACAGTCTTTGATCTGGTCGCTTTGATGAGTTTCTGAGGATGATTGAAGATCAGCAGTTCCTCCACCTCATCTTCCAGAAAATTTTACTATGAGTATACAATTGCTGACGACCTAAGAAAATGGAAGATCATTCGGGAAGATATTAGTCAGTTGTGGAACCGGTGGGGGTGACAACCATCATAGGGGTGAAGGTGTGAACGTGTCGAAGTGTTGCCCAATTTAAATAGTCGAGTCTAGTGACGGACAGGTTAAATTATTTTTCGGTGAGGATTCTTACCACTCTGTTTAGAATAGGTTTGTTTGTATCTGTGTTTAATTTTTTTTAAGAAATCAAAAACTTACATCTAGTACATTCTTGGTGTTAATTTGAAATAAAATTAAATTACTTACTAAGCTAAAAAAAACAATAAACTTAATCAGCCCAATATTTACGAAAATACAGCAAAGAATTTTTGTAATGAACTTTTCACCCAATGCAATAATCCAAATTATTGGGGTCTATATATTAATTATTTTATTGCCAACGCATTTTAATTTATTCCGTCTAGTACATTGATCATGTTTAACGATTACAAAAAGTTTGTCATTAACATTTTATTTTTTATGATAGGAGAGCTGAACTACTATGGTTTACTAAATTTTGGACATTTTGAAAATCTGAATTATGAGCTATTTGAACTTCTGCTCTTTTGTTTCATGGGAGTAATTGGTGGTATATTAGGCTCTGTTTATACTTATGTTAATTACAAATTAACTGTATTTCGCATGAGGTAAGCTGAAAAAAAAAGAAATTATTGTTTAGAATTTATAAATATATAAATTATTTAATATTATATGTTACTACTTTTTTAGGTACATTAAAGCTAGAATCCTGAAAGTATTGGAAGCTTGCTTCGTAGCCGCTGTGAGTGCGACTGTTGGTTTATTAATGATATATACACTAGATGATTGCAAACCTTTGGGACAAGATCCAACCGAGCATCCTGTTCAGGTTTGTAATTCCACCTATCTAACTTCTAAATTATATTAAATGAAATTACTTGCTTTCAATTAATTTACATTAATATTTATTTATTTTTTATCTCTGTAGGGTGACCTTAACTAAAACATTTTATAATATATTTTTTTGTCTCTTCCCTTCCTCTGTTTCTTATTTCCCTCTATTAATAGCTCTCATCATCCTGAATATTTTAACTCTTTTTGACAAACTTTTATGAATATTATCATATAAGTTCCAACATTAGCTAACTGAGTTCCAGAGTTGGGTGAAAATTATCCGAATGACGAATAAATTTTAATTCATAAAAAAATTCACGACTAATGAGTTTTTTTTTATTCCTTAGTCATGACTAACAAAACGAATGATTGAAAAAATCGTTATTTTAAAAACGACTAATGACAAAAAATTTAGTCGTTCATACATGAATTAATTTCCGAATACAACTTATGTTAAGATTGATTATATATATTTTTTTGCTCTATCAGCCCTCCAATTTGTCGAAGTAGATATGCAATTATATTTGCTCTTTAGGACAGACAAGGGTTTTTCCTAAGATGGTTTTTAATTTTAACATTTTAATGAATTTACCCAAGAATTCCTCCGGCATCTTTAGCTCTCGCTTTTTTGAATGAGTCATTGTTTTAAAAATAATAGAAATTATCTTAGTTTTATTAAAGATTATATTTATATATTTATATATATATATATATATATATATATATATATATATATATATATATATACATATGTGTATATATATATATGTATACATATATATATATGTATATATATATATATATGTACATATATATATATATATACATATATATATATATATGTGTGTGTCTGTGAAATGAATCAAATATTCATAAAATAATTTTTAAAATCTTCAACCTTCGTAGAAGTGGACATTTTTGATAAAATAATGGTTTATTATTTTTAACAAGTTTGTAAGGTAAAACGTACGATAAGTTGGAGCTGTGTTATTTTTATCTGTCCAACTTCTAGAAAATGAATAACCTTGGATCAAGCTTATTTACTTCGGTATAAATCTGAATATTATTTCAATTATAGAAAATTTATGGTCTGCCACGATAAAAGCCTCAAATAATAGTAAATTAAAATGTTTATGTGCTTCATTGGTTTATTAGCCTCTCTCTCTCTGCAGGTACTTATTACAAGAGAATTACCATACAAACGGCAGACCATTAAGATATAGAAACCTTGTATAATTTTAAAATAAAGAACATTAGTTTGGAAAAAGTTGTGTACCCCTCATCAGATCGATTACATTTCAAAATTCATTGATTTATTGGTCTCATTGTTAATCATTATTGCCAGTTTTATGTTCATAAACTTTTTTTCATGATAATAGGATTTAATTTAAGATGATGAAAATGGAAATCTGTGAGTGGTTCGCGGCATTAGTGGAAATCATTTACATTTATATATAACTTTAATGACAACTTTAAATTAATTGTTATCCGGTTTTTAATTATTATTAATAACTATTATTAATAATAATTATTATTTATTATAATAATTATTATTACTTATTATTATTATTTATTATAATAATTATTATTAATAATTATTATTCTGTGATAATTATTTATTCAAATACATTTTTATTCAGATTTTAATTTGGATAAAATTTTAATCGCTTTTAACATATGTTTATTCATGACTTAGAATTCCAAATAAAAATTTAGTCGTATTTTTATCGGAATAAATTTTCATTCGACTAACACCCAACTCTGCTGAATTCACTTTATGTTCTATCAGATAGTAATCTTGCATATACATTTTAATAGTTCCTTCTAGTATATTGTAACAAGTAGAGAGATTCATGTGTTCTAGTTACTTTGTATTCATTAAAGAAATTAGTAAGTATTTAATATGGAATCCAAAATAATATGATAAAAGGTATTATTATGGGTATAAATTATTGTGAATTAAATAGCACCTGTTGCTTTAAAAAAATAAAACATTTTGAAGAGTGTTACCTTTTTTGAAATAACATTTAAGAACGACTATAAATCCTCAATTCTATATTTATTTGACTGTCATATTTACAAGATAACTTTCTCGGTACAGTTTTTTAATGACTAATATATTTATTTCAACCCAATAATTTATAAATTATGTAAATATAAAAGAAATTATCGACTACAAAATCTTTCGAATCACTTAAAATATCAATGCAATTGTATTAAAAATATTCAATGAATATTGGTAAAAAAAAATTGTAACTTATCTTTTTACTTTAAAATTTATCCATTTTATGTAGGACATGGATCATGTCTTCCCGAAGGTTTATTTTTAAAAGTAGTCGTGAAGTATCTGTTTTTTCCAAAAGTGGTAATGATTAAATTCCAAAGACCATTTTTAATTAAACAAATATTAATATTTTAAAAGTATTTAAAAAAAAAAAAATTGGAATGATAGTTATTTCAGAACTACTTTAGAGACAATATGGCCAGCTATATAGACTACTAAGCAGGACATCTCATCTTTCGATTGAAAATAAACTTTTAATCTACAAGACAATACTGAAACCTATCTGGACCTACGGACTTGAACTGTGGGGAACTGCTAAACATTCGAATATCAAACGCATCCAATCCTTCCAGTCCAAAGTACTTAGAACAATAGCCAATGCCCCATATTATGTCACAAATAAGACCCTACACCATGACCTTAACATCCCTTTTGTCCTCGACATCATCCCATCCAGATTCTCAAACTTTCACCAGAACCTTATCCATCATCCAAATCCTCTAGCTCAATCCCTATCCAGCTCCCACCATCCCTACAATCCCCCTCGAAGGTTAAAACGGCAGTGGCCGCGAGATCTATTGTAAATATGCTTCTGGAGTCCTGGCAATGGCCAGCTTCTCCACTCAAGTCCTGAGCATCTGTGGCTCTAGTGCCCTCCTTCAGCCTCCACTGGCTTTTAATACTAGTGATGCGGCTGGAAAAATGGCACTGGGATCTCTGGAGTCCTGCTTTGCTTTCCACATGTGGGGAGAAAAGCCTGGCTCGGAGATTCCTGGGCGAATGTATATATTGTATATAGAGATGAATGTGTTTAGAAGTTTTTATTTTATTTTGTTTATTTATTTTTTTTTTCTTTTATTTTTTTTTTCTTTTTTTCTATTGATTTACATTTTTTTATAAGTGTTATTTATTTACTTTTTATATTTATAGTTACTTCTGTATTACTTGTATATACTGTATGAATGAGAACTTTTAGCCTTAATACTTATAGCCCTCCAACAGTGGCTGATTGTATTATTATTCAATAAAAAAAAAAAAAAAAAAAAAAAAAAAAAACTTTAGAGACAAGTGTATGGGTGTTATGGATAATTTAATAAATTGTTTATAAGACAAATCTAATTTTTTTAAATTTAAATTAAATGAAAGTTAAATGGTAGTTGAGGAAATATGTATTGCATTTTAAATATGGCAAAATAAATGAATGTAACACACATTTTATGTATGTCAATTTTTAAGTGTTTAGTTTTGAGAGTTGCATTAATATGACATAAGTGAATAATATTATAATTCCTTAATCAGCAAATTAGTTATAGTATATTTGAAATTTTATATTCTCATTTTCTTAAATTTTAATGAAACTAGAATATATTATCACAAAGAATTGAAATTTTATGAAACCCCTGATATTTCAATAATTTGCCTTTAAAATAATTATTTTTATTTGAACTTCAGATGTACTGTAGAGATAATGAGTACAACTCCATTGCTGCACTGTGGCTTCAGGTACCAGAAGCTAGTGTCAGGTCTCTCTTTCATGATCCTCCAGGTTAGTTCATTTTCATTTATAAAATATTGAATTATTTATAATAATTAATTTGTATATGATACATAAAAATAATCTATAGTTTATGTCCTAGATAAAATATGAAATTATGTTTTCTATCTTAAGTATTTGTTAATTTTTAATTATACTTTTAGCTTCACATGATCCTTGGACATTGCTACTCTTCATGGTCATTTACTTTATTTTATCTATCTGGACATATGGACTCAGCGTATCAGCTGGTATCTTCATTCCAACTCTTCTTACTGGAGCAGCTTGGGGCAGGGTCATCGGTATTTTAATTGGTTACATTTATCCTAATGCGGTAATTTATATTTTGAAATGAGTTAATTTCAACATTTATATTTTACTTATGTATTTTGCTTTTTTTTTGTATTGCTGTTGGGCTTAACATCAGTCAATACTTACATTAAGACATGGTTAATCCTCATATCAGTTCCTACTAACCTTTTGTATCTATTGTAACAATCTATATATTCGGATCATTAAAAGTCTAACAATACTATTCTTATGTGAGATATAAAAAAATTAAACAATTTTTTATTGTATTGTGTATTGTAAGACGCTTTGTATGGTATTGGCGTTATTTTAACTCCTATTCTATTATTTGAAATATTAATTAAAATACTTTTTTTAAAAACTATTCATATCCGTAGACTTGGTTAGATCCTGGAAAGTATGCTCTCATTGGAGCTGCTGCTCAGTTGGGAGGTGTTGTTAGAATGACAATCAGTTTAACAGTTATCTTAATTGAAGCAACAGGAAATATCACTTTTGGATTACCTCTAATGATGACACTTATGACTGCAAAGTGGGTCGGTGAATTTTTTTGTGAGGTAATTATATATTTGTAACATTCTACTTTATTGATACATTTATTAACTTATAGTATGTTACTAAGTTAGTAATATATCCTTATAATTTATACATTTGTATTATTATTATGGATTTCTTTTTTTTTTTTTTCAAACTCTCATTATTTGAAATGCTCTTTATCTTTACAATTGTGTTTGCAATTCTGATTACTTATTAAGTTTATTATATTCAAATATAAATAAAATAAAAATGAATTCATTAGATATTGTTATCGTTGTATCTTCCGATTTATGTAATAGTATTTGAGGCTATGTCTTGGACTATCGTTAACGTGAGCAGTTTCAGAAGACCATGTAGAGACGTACAGTGAGAAACACCTTACTGAGCCTTATAGTTTGTGAGCCTGTGACAAAATAAGTGACTTATTTCTTACTAATTTTTAAGTAAGAAATAGTATACCTCATAAATAGACTATGTTCACAGGTTTGATGAGAAAAATGCGTATCCGTCCTTGTAATTTACTAACTTAAAAAAAAAATTGTTTTTGTTCGCTAACTCTTTATCTTTTAATTTCACAAAAAAGTCACACAACTTTCCTATCTACTGATTTCTGAAAAGTTTTATATCTTGAAATATGTGCATTAAAAAACAAAAAAAAATTGAATTAGATTTATTTTCCTAAAAATTGATAAAAGAAAAGATTAGAGTACGACTTCTTTGATAAACTAAAGCAATGTAAACCAGCTTGTGAAAGATTAGCTTAAAAAATTTAATACACTTATATATTGGTAGTTAAAAACTTGTTTACAGTAGCCCAATTTTTTCAGGCAATAATTTCTGTTAGAAGTAGAGAGGAAAGTGAAACTTGTGTGATGCAAGAACCAGATTTTTTACTTTCAGTGATGTTTTTTTTTCTCTCTATTTCACCTCTTTCTGGTTCCAGCATTTAAAGCCCTAATCTTACATATGAAATTGAATAGCTGTAACTTTAATTGATATAACGTTATTATTTGTCCGAAATGAACTATTTCTATAGTTTTGTAGGGAATTTCATTCATAGATCCGTCAAAAATCGCACATCAGAAATTTGACCCAATCACAATTCTTTCTTTACCTAATATAGGTAGGAAAGTAATAAATTAAAACATGCGTAAAAAATAGAATATGATGTATCATTGCTAATACTGGTTCAATTTCGATGAATTTTTGTTTGTTTTGTGGGTAATTTAATTACCTTACAAAAGTTTTTATATAAATTTTACCATAGAATATATACTTAGTGAGTTAGGCCTCAAAAAATTTTTCTTTTCTTTATAACTCTTTTTCCTGAATTTTCTAGAGGCTTCTACCAATGCCGATCAGGGCCTGGCCACAATATCATGAAATACTAAACTACAGATTACTATTTAGGAAAATATATATATTTTTATTATTGTGTTGATGTTTGTTTTTATCATTGCATGCTTACCTTAGATATTATATAGTCAGAATTTCAAATAATATCATTAATTTAATTAATATTTCTATTGATTCTGATTGTAGGGTTTTTATGATGTACACATCCATCTGCAAGCAGTTCCGCTGTTAGACTGGGATCCACCACCCCTATCATCCAATTTATTTGCTAGTGAAGTAATGGGCTATCCAGTAGTCGTATTACCTACGATTGTTAAAGTTTCAAAGTTGGTGGAAATTTTATCTTCTGAAACTTATTGTGGATTTCCTGTTGTTGATAAAATTACAAATGAGTCTTCACAGCCTTCAGTATGTATTATTTTTAATGGATAGACAAAATACCTTTATGAATTGTATCTTTTCTTTTCCGTTCTTCCTTCCTCGCCTTTTAGGCTATACAGGGTTTTCATGGACCAGGGAGTGAGGGCGGGAGATTAATACCAGAGTTAAAAACCCCACTGGCACCGGGACGCGAACTCGTACTTATTTAATTCCATATAACTTTGGTTATCTGGTTGCCGGGCAACACACTGTGCACATGCGTTAGCTCAGTCACCTTGCCCCCTTATGAATTGTATTGTCAACTTAATGATGTACTGAAGTGTATTTTTTTTATGTTGCAAAATATACTAAGGTATTATTTTAATTGCATCCTCCACCCTCTCCTCCTTCAGTGTTAAATATCTTTCTGACATATTGTAATATACTTTTCAAACATTTATAATTTTTTGAGGAGACAAAAAGCTTGAAAATTTCTACAAACTGTAATTTCATTGATATTGTTTTTGGCTATCAATTACTTTATAATCTATTTAGGGCGTCTTTCCTATTAACATAGCGTCTAATTCCTTGCAACGTTCACTAGGAATACAAATCAATATAGTACCATAGATAATTTTTATCTAGATTCTAATTTGTAAATATCTGGGTATTAGGTCATTTCCTGAAAACACTGAAATATATTGGAGACAGTCGTAAGCCACTAGGTTATCACTTTAACGTCCTCAAAATGTATATCATGATACCTGATAAGATTACATGATATAGCTTCGTTCTACAGCTAGTTATTATGATTTTACTCACGTATGATGAAATGATCTCCTATTGGAATGTGTGGTACATTTTGAATTATCACCTTTATTTTAGTTTTTTTGAGTGGTTGCCCATTTACGTAGCATTTGCGACTCAAAATTTATGCAATATTAGTGTGTTGGTGAATGTTGAGTATTCAATATTTTTAATTATTCTCCTTCCAAGGTTCGATTATGGTTCAGAAATAGCCATCTTTTAATACTCATTTGATATTTTAATTAAGTCTCCACTAGAACTCAAATTACTCCTAGTGAGGGAATGAAACTATACTCTGGAAGACTAAATTTTTTGATATGAGAAGGAGTTAGTCGGGGGTGTGGTCAGATAAATACTAAATTAAAATATAGTAATTATTTTATTTTAATTTTGCCGACGTTTCGACCCACTTTACAGGTCATCTTCAGGGCGTAGGATGTAGCACTGCGGGAGGCAGTTGAAACACTGGCCATATTATATGTTTCGAGTACGGAAGGTATTGAAGTACTAAATACCTTGAGAGTTTAAAACATGGCCAGTGTTTCAACTGCCTCCCGCAGTGCTACATCCTACGCCCTGAAGACGACCTGCAAAGTGGGTCGAAACGTCGGCAAAATTAAAATAAAATAATTACTATATTTTAATTTAGTATTTATCTGACCGCACCCCGGACTAACTCATTCTCATATTATATCAACGGTCAACCATCTCTACATCATTATAAATTTTTTGATGTTCTAATTTTTCCTTATCATTCCTGATAATAATTTAATCAAATGATTTATATTTTGTACCATTTTTTTTTTAATTTCAGAATATGGTTTCAGACAGAGTGAGAGAATGAAAACTTTGATTAAAAAAAAAAATTTAATTTTTATGAGGGGTTAGTTTTTTGTCATTAAAATTACTATAATAATCTTATTGGTGATAAATATTCAGAACACAGTCATTATAAAGTTTTTATTGATGACGACGTTTCAACCGAAACATATGGGTCATCATCAGGGCTTTTGTGTGTGCCAGGGATGTTTCAAACACTCAAGGTATTTAGTACTTCAATACCTTCCGTACTCGAAACATACCTGGAGGGTATTGAAGTACTAAATACCTCGAGTGCTTGAAACATCCCTGGCGCACACAAAAGCCCTGATGATGACCCACAGGTTTTGGTTGAAACGACATCACCAATAAACATTTTATAATGACTGCGTCCTGAGTATTTATCACCCATGATATGTAGAACAGTCGACGAACTTCCTTCTATAATAATCTTACTTTTACCCATTACAAAAATTCTGACATATTCCATACTCAGAGAATCATTAAAACGAAGGGGGTGAGGATTCACACTTTCTAGAAGAAAACACTTTTAGAAAACTTGTAGGAATATATCATCTAGTTTTAATCAATATGTCAAATTAATTGCTTTATTGATTTTAAGTAAATATTTGTATATTTCATTATTGCAGTTACTGTATAGTCTAATGGAATCAGGTGGTAAACTACGTGGACTTATCTTAAGATCGCAATTGTTAATTATTCTTAAGAACAAATTGTACATAGAAAGTGACGAAACTTGGAATCACCAAAATTTGGGACGTAACCTTTTCAGGCATCACTATCCAAGATATCCTACAATTAAGGTATTATTTTTTCTTTGTTTTTTAAGAGTAAATTATTTAATAATAATGTAACTTCTACTGTATATTGTAGGTTTATTGCATAAAGTCATTAACTGGCATTTCATAACCTTAAATCACTAAGATCTTTATTCATTCATATTTTCATATTCAAAATTCATTATTCAATTCCTCTTGTGAGTGAAATTTTTCAATTGTTTTATCTATATTTGGTTTATAAAAGTGTTTGTGTTATTTTTTTTATTGATAAGTAAGGTCACAATTCACAAAAATGTTCAATAAACTGACAAACATTTGGCAGTTAACCGATGGTATAAAATCTCATAAAATAGATTGGTAAACAATTTTGAGTTCACATTTTGTTTTTCTTTGTTTTTATTAGTTCAATGGATTTTAATGTAAGGTTGGAGTAAATTTAATCTTTCATGAATGTCTAAATAGTTATTATAACAATAACATTATTAACTGATATCTTATATGAGTGAATAAAATAACTATGTATTAACTTTTAAATTAGTTATATAAGTAAATGATAAAATAAGCAAAGTTTTTCTATTTAAATTAAATCTTGTATTCTTCTAACTTGGTTAATTTTTTATGTGTGGACTTTTAATAAGTTATAAAATTTTAATTTATTAAGCTGATCGTTCCTATTTTTTTAAGGATATCTATATACCTGAGGAAGAAATGAATTTCACTATTGATTTACGGCCATACATGAATCCTTCACCTTATACAGCGCAACATGTAAGTGTAATAAAGTATTTTCATACCTTTAACTTATTGTTTTCGGGTCATTGAAAGAATAAACATGAGTAACGGGATGGTAGCTATGCTCAAGTCAAACATTGAGCCCCGCCAATATTTGAAATCTTAACAGATTGTTGACATGAACTAAAGAAATTTTTAAGAACTTTTTATAGTTAATTCCCTGTAGTGGTATTGGAAAAAGTGCTGAGTATGTCATTATGACCTGCATCGCTTTTGAGACAATAAGGGTCAACTACTGAGGGAAATACGTCATCACTGACTATACGTTATCACGGAAGACGATTTCCCTCAGTTAGTAAACAAGGACTAAAAAAAAATAAATTAAGTTAAACAGTCAAGCGGCCATACAAACACTGGACAACTATACAACTAGATCTAAGGCTATGAGAAGGAGTTAGTCGGGGGTGCGGTCAGATAAATACTAAATTAAAATATAGTCATTATTTTATTTTAATTTTGCCGACGTTTCGACCCACTTTGCAGGTTGTCTTCAGGGCTACAAAAGATACAAAACATGTTGAGAATAAAAATTAAATATAAGTAGATATAAAATAAGAAGAACTTGTCAGATACAGAAATAAAAGATGATATCAGAGATATAGTGGGTGACAATGTAGTAAAATATTAAGTATTATATATGTAGAAGATACAAATAAATGGAAAATAAGTATGAATAAAAAATGAATAAAAATAAAAATAAAGGAGAATATAGCTTGTAAGTTAAAAGTAAACAGATTGCGATAAAAGATAAGGAATAAGTGTATAACAAACTAATAGAGATTACATTAGATAATTGTGGGTTTAACAGATAAATAAAATGAATGTTAACTAATAAATAGATTGAAAATTAAATAAGTAATGTTTAATAAATAATTACTATATTTTAATTTAGTATTTATCTAACCGCACTCCTGACTAACTCCTTCTCATATTATATCAACAGTCAACCATCTCTACATCATTAGATCTAAGGCTGTTGGGGATTGTGTCAGAATTCTCCATGACTTATCCAGACTTAATAAGGTAAACATTGAATTGGTTCCGGGTCACTCTGGAATACATGGTAATGAGATGGCGGATGAACTAGCAAGACTAGGCTCATAAATGATACCTATAGCTCCAGAACCCTTCTGTGGAAGTAGTCAGTGTCTAATAAAAAATGGAATTGGTAAGATCTATGGTGCTGAAATTAAAAAGAACTGGTGCTTGAAAAAATAGATCACTCTAGACTGTTTCTGGAAGGAATCTCACAAAAAAAAAAAAGTAATCTACTAATTAATTTGAGCAGGAGCTCACTTAAGAAAATGACAGCGGTATATAATAGGCACTGTAAACTGAATTATCACATGTTCAATCTCTGGCTCATGGAGTCGTCTGTTTGTAAGTACAGTGGCCAGGAGGATGAGACAGCTTATCACATTACTTGTTGGTGGGACAGGTTTGTTGGACTAAGATTCTAATTATTCGGCACTGATAGGGTTACTGATCCCAAGGCAAACGAGTACATCAATCCAACAAGCTTATTACAGTTCATTGAGACTGCAGGAATCACGCTCTAAACAGGAGTGACTTTAATAAAGGCGTACAATAGGCCTACATGGCCGCAGTGCAATCATGCTGTTTTAAAACAAAAACCTCTAAAAAATTGCTCATCCTATTTTTTATTTCATGGCTGTTAAGCTCATTATTATATAAACAACTATAGTTGGTATAGGAAGTGAGGAGGTGTGGATTCCTGAGTAGAGGTTGCCTACAATGATTGTACCTCTGTCGTTCTTTCAAGCTGCCCTCCAAAATGGAAAAATATAATCATGTCTTATGAAAAAATATTGAAAACTATCTCTAAAAGTATTATTGTTCATGTAATTACATTTTAATAGGATTTCAAGAATCACTTAAACACCATTTTATATAAGTAGTTAGTTCATTTCTTTTTCTTCCAAAGTAATTATCATTATATATATATATTAAACAAAAAAGCTTTCAGGCTGAAACCTATCCCTCCCATAATCAAATCCTGGATTAGCTGATGCCTCATGGAAGGAAATCATAGTTGAATTCTTGCTTTATTAATCAGTAGAAGAGCGATTAAAGTAGTTCTCATCTTCTAGATCCCCACAAAGAATTAAATCTCTAATTAAATGTGTATAAAATAAAATAAATGGTTAGTATAAAACGTATCAACTCAAATTAAATAATTTTAGTGCTTAGGTCTTTCATCAATAATTTAGTAGAACAAATTTAAAAATTTGTATCGTCAGGGAGGAAAGAGGGAGGGATTTCTTCTCTTTTCATCAAGATATTTTTGAACAGCCCTGTGATCCTGCTTGTATATATCTTGTAACGTCCACTCCCCTCTATTACACTATCTATCATTTATCATCCGTCATCTTGGTTTTAGCTAATAAATATATGTCATAAATTTTTCTGTTTGTAGGTGGCATCATTGCCTCGCATTTTTAGACTGTTTCGAGCATTGGGTCTTCGTCACTTGATAATCGTGAATGATTCAAACGACGTAAGTAACTGTTCAATCATTAACTGTTATTATCTGATACATATAGTGAATGGAGTTGAATATGCTTTATTTATTTCTTAAAATATAGCTGGGGCAGACCAACTATTTTTTTCATGGTAACTTCTGTAAATTTTAGTCATTTGATTTATAATGTCTGTGGTTATTTTCCCCCAAATTTCAGACGATTTTCCTGTTGTATTAATATTATAATTTTTTTTTCAAATATAATTACGAATTATTAAAATAATGATAGCAAAAAAAATGAATACATACTTTTCAACAATAATGATGAAAAAAGAAATTGATAATGGATAATCAAATTTTTATAAATAAAATTATTTATGCAATTGACTAAGGGTTATCAACTAATCATTAATAAGAGAATGAACTAATTAGTTGGTCTACTACGACAAAACTGAGAAAAGTAAATATGAATGATTTTTTTTTACTTTAATTGTGGCTTGATGTTACAGGATTGAAATTTTATTTTATTTAAAAAAAAGACGTCTTCCTGTATATTCCATTTATTTATTAGTTTTGCGCAACCGGTTTCTGTCTTTTATCAGGCTAACTGATGATGCTCCTCTTCCTCTGCTTCTCAAAATGAGGATTCAAAACAGGTTGTGCAAAACTGAAAAATAAATAGAATAGAACATAGCGTTGTTATGTTATATTAGAATAATAAATAAATATCTAAAATATAACTGAATGAATAACATAACTCATGCCATTATGCTAAGATCATATTCCTCATTAATATCTAGAATGGCTAGCAAAAGTTTTCATACACAGACTGAGTGATACACAGGAAATAAGGCAATCAATAAAAACAATTATTTCCCTCTTATTTTTTTTATTTAAATACCTAATTATAACTTCGATACCACTCTTGTCAATTTTTCCAAAAATATATTTGAATATTTTTTCTAACATTATATTTTTATTTACTAACTGTGAATTGATATAAGCCCAAATATTTGATGTGATTCAGATCTAGATTAAGAGAGGCATTTCATGCTCAATTCGATAATTATATAGCAGTCATTTCTATGTGTGTAGGGTTACTATCTTGGTAAAATTTAAATGTTTGTTCTATAATCATTTTTGCCATTACTTACTTACTCCTCAGCGCTATAGTCCGCGTGGGACCTTGGCTTTCTCAACAATATGTCGCCACTCGTCTCAGTACAATGAGACAGCACTCCACCGCCTGATACCAAGCTGTCTCAAATCCGCCTCAACATCCTACAGCCAACGGAGTGGTGGCCTTCCTCTACTTCTTGCTCCTCCAGGATGCCCATACAATATTTTCCTCGGTACTTGGTGCGCTGCCATCCTTTCCACATGCCCTAACCATCTTATTCGTCCTGCCTTAATGACACTTATGAGATCTGCGTCCCTGTAGAGTCGTCGCAACTCCCGTTTTTTGCCATTAACAGTTCTTAAATTATTTTTTTTTTAATTAATCTAAATTTATACTTATCCATTACTCTGTTAATAAAAACCAAATTCTTGACTCCAAAGCCGACATGTGTACCCACATAAGAACATCCCTGACTCCTCAACTTTTCATTGCTGCTCACAAATTTATCAGTTCAAATCCCTTTCCAACTTTCCTCCACACAATAAATATTAAATTTGTTCTTATCTAAATAAATTCCATCATTCAACTAACTTTTTGTTTTTTTTTCTTTTTCATAAGTTATTTGGCGAAGGCTTACCTTTTTTTCTTATTCATTAAATTTATGAGAGGTCTTTTTCAACTCGTTCTGGCTTTAAATCCATAATGTTTTAATATTTTCCGAATCATATCTGGTCCAGCTTATTTTACTGATTGCTCTCCTTTATTTCTTTGTTATTTTCATATACTATTAGGGATATAACCAGCAAAAATGGTTGGTTATAGAACAAATATTCAAATTTACCAGGTTAGTACTCTTAAGACTGAGCTCTCCTCTCACAGGAATGGCTGTTATATAATTATCCAAATCAACATTGAACTCCTCTTAAGACTCCAGATTTGAATCCCATTAAACATTTATGGGCTTTTATCGATTCACAGCTTGGAAATCAAAATACAATGTTAGTAAAATATCTTAAAACTAAATTGTTTGAAGAATTGTGAAAATTACTTCAAAATTGATCCAATCAATGCCTAAATGGTACTCAAAAACAAAGGATTGCTTTCATAGTATTAATTTAAAAACTTTGGCTAAAATAAACGGATGAATTACTGTATAATATATCTATGTACGAAAACTTTTGCTGCATTAAAATTATTATTTTGTAATTTAATATGTAATAAAAATAAATGTATTTATTTTTAGGCCAATATTTTTTATAAAATTTATAAGACTGTTATTGAGATTATAATTAGATGTTAGAATTGATAAAATATGTAGGTAAGAATTGTTGTTGTTGATTTTTTTATTTCCTATCATTCCATGTAAGAACGCTTTTGCTGACCACACTGTATAAAGGCAAATTTGTATTACATATTTAATAAAGATTGAATGTTATTCATAGGTAATTGGTATGGTGACGAGGAAAGATTTGGCTAGGTACAGAGTTTGGAGACATCTAGGACATATGGGATTGGAAGAGCTTAAAATATCTGATAAAATCTGATTTCATAAATATTGTTAAATTTTTTTTTATTGATTCGTAAAAGTTTGTCTATATACCCCAGGTAAACAGGAACAAAAAAAAAACCAACTTCAGAGTTGCTACTTGTTTTGTTGTACCTTAAACGTTTGTACTACCACTAAGATTATTTGAGAACGGATATTTTTGACCATGGTATTTATAGAGTATCATATATGATTTATGAATATTAGTACTTATGCTTGTATATCCACAGGGTTCATTCCATATATATTTATATGATATATAGTTAATTGTATTATAGCACATTAAACAAAAACTTGAAGATGAATAGATTAGTGAAATTTGAGACTATCAAAGTTTAGGCCTTACAATAAGTCGTAGTCGTAACATTGAAAATCATATTGGTACTTCTAGTCGAAATGAATTAGTCCTATAAGTTTTGGTTTATGAATTAAGATACGTAGAATGATATATTTAACTTCGCTGTACGTATCACTTTTGTTAAATTGCATATATATTTTTCAAACTAGTTTCTAATGTAAAGTGATAATTTAGGCGTTAGAGCAAATAATAAACACTTGTCATTGAAGTGACACTGTAATGATACACCAATTTTAGGTTTAATATTTCTTACTGTCAGTACATTAAAAGGGAGAATATCATATACACCAAAATTACTTAAAATAAATGTTGGTGTATGATATTTAATATATATATATGTTTTTACTATCAAACCACAGTATAGTAAGTCCTTTAGATAAGTTGAAAAAAATAATAATAAATTTTTATACTTTTAGGGTTGCTTGTTCTTATGTATGGATTTATTCTTACCTAACTCTGGAATTTAACTGTTTTGGGTTTATTTTATTCTGAAACTTATATTCTCTCAATTTAGTCTGAGATAGGTTATGTTCATTTAAAAATTATGCATAAGTCTTGACACAGTAATAAGCCATTCTTTTTTTTTTTTTTTTTGGCATTGTACATGTAAAATTTAGTCAATGGAACTTATATTCTGCCTAGTAGATGATAAGATGTAAAGTTATTTTTTTATCTAAAAAATACTTTATTTACCTGATTGGCACATAACATTATCTTGCATAATAAATTTAGCCTAATTTGTTATTTTCAAAAAGCTGTCTTATGTGTTTTCAAATATTTTTAACTGAACTATGCAAAACTGAAAGTAATTTGTCATTTCCTTTAAATTTAAGTTCCCAATAGTTGACTCTTTATTTTTTAAAAGTTACTTCTTTATTGTTCAGTTTAAATAACAATATTTTAATGTTGTTGTTATATTCGAATATTTTAAAAGCACTTATTTTTTTACAACTTGACAAAAGCATTCTCCCACGTTAATAAAAATATAGTGTTTTCTATTGCTGATAATTTATTCAAATTTGACACATTTTATTCTTAAAATATTAAAAAGAAAAGTTATATTATTCAATCAATCAATCCATGGACAAAGAGATTGAAAGTAAGTCAATCTTTTTATTTCTAAAAATTAAATTATGATAACATTTTGTTATTTATTTATTTTCTTATTGCCATAATTGACTCCTTCCATTCCTAGGATTCAGTTGATCAAATAAATAAAATATTTTTGTTTAGAAACAAAGAACAGATTATTTATTTATAAAACAAAACAATTTGTTTACTTAAAATAACTTAAATCTTATGACAACAAATAAAATTCACTATTATCAGTAGAGTTATTTTAAATTTTTAAAGAGTTTTTAAAATAGCAAAATAATTTTATCAAAATAAATTGATAATTTCTTATGAAAAAATTTAATCTATTCATTTAATTAATATGTTGTTAATTTTATTCCAAACCAATTTGTCAGACTTAAAAAATAAATTATAAATATTAGTATACCTTCTTAATCTTTAATAATTTACAATGCTACATAGATATTTTATAGTTGTTTCTAAAGTGATTAATAAATTATATTTTAATTATTGTACACAAGTGAATAAACTCGTAACCTAAATCTTAAAATTACTTATTAAATTTCTACTTACTTTGAACAACAAAATTCATCAAAAACTTATTCGTTATGGAATTTACTTTTGTGGTGTTAAAAAATATATAGATTTCTCTATAGGTTTTTAAAATTGCTCATAATTAATCCTTCCTTGCATACCGACATGATTTAACTGAGTTCTTCATCATGTTATGCCTTAAGTAATGGTATGTAATTCATTCTAACATTAATATTAGTTTTTGAGAATTAAACAGATTTCTTTAAATCTTAGTTAATTCTATTTATTTATTATGAACTGAGATGTGATATAACAGGTTACCTTGAGAAATATGTTTATTTATTATCAAACTGCATTCAACTTCATTTAATTGGGACCAGCTGGACCTCACTATTTTTTTCATAATAAAATGGAGGTCTGTATGAGAAAAAAAAAAAATTGTATAGCTTTATAATTAGGTAGTTTTTATTCATATTATTAATTTTCATTCACTTCAACTCCATATTAGATATCTAAGGATGTATAAGTAAAGGTTTTAGGAAAAAAAGAATGTATATTGGTACAATGATTAAAAAGAAGAAATCTTTCTCTCAAAATGCATTTTTTTCCATTTCATTTCCGATTAATTTTTTTATGCTTGAAATTCCTGATTTTAATATTCTCAAAATTTACCCAATCGTAACATCTCACTCATTTTCTTGAAACTTCCATGTTCAGTACCCAATCGGGAAGTTTTGATAATCACTATAGATTGATGTTTAATATGATGATCGACGATGAACCAGTATAGAAAAGCTGTGGAATTTCAATTTTAATAGAATTAGAATTTCCCAATAATAAAGCTGATCTAATTATATGATTTAGCATAGTCAACTGTTTTTGTTTTTTTAGATATGAGGTTATAAATACAAACAGACATGGTAGTTTATGTTTTTTATAATTTTTTACTTAATTCATATCTGTTTTCCATTGGTGGCATGTCAATGTGAAAGAGAATACCTTCAATTCATTTATAAAAATATTTTTATTTTGTTACATATCTTGATTGCTTCATCTTCAACATATATTTTTTTGTAATTTATTTTCAAAGTGATTATCATTTCTTATGATATTCAAAATAATGTAACCATAAAATAGTTACCGCAAATATTTTAAGGCATCTGTTATTCAATGTTGATGCAAATTGTTTATTTCAACTTGTGTGTACATTTTACAGTACAATTTCTCAACTATATATTTCAGTATTAACACTTTACTTCTTTACTATAAACAATAAATTACTTGGCTCATCGCCCGTCCTAAAGGATAATATTAATCTGTCCATATAATATATACCTCATATAATTTTACTTTTCTTTTTAAAATTATTTTTTTGAACATTATTGCAGTAGATAGTCCATATCTATTATTAGAGATCTAATTCGTTCTTGTGAATGTAGGTTTATATTCATTTCAATTTATATGTTTGGATTTCATTAATACAATTATGCAAACCATATTTTTAATCCATTAATTTTTAGTAATAGAATTTCTTTATTAGAAATTATACAATACCTTAGAAACTTTAGCGGGTTTCATGAAATTCTTCCTATGCTTACTGTAATTTTATTGTGATCTTTTCATTATAAGTGTACTGTCATAAATGTATGATCATATCTGTGATTCAGGTTTTATATTTGTTTTCCATTTTATTTTAAATTTATATTTTTTATATTTATTCTATAATTTGATGTATAATTGTTTAGTTAAGAAAAAGTTATTGTGATAAGATTTTTGAAACTGACTGTGTTTAATGTCCTTGTAATAAAGACAATATGTTATTGTATTTTATTGTTAGTTGTTTCAGATAAAATTATTATATAATGTATTAGTTTTTAATGCCTACCCAGTTATTGTGAGTAATGATTTGAAAAGTTATGAGATGAAATGTTTTTGTTTTATATTAAACTATGGTTCTTTATTATATTATAACGTAAAAGAATATTTATATATGTAATCAATAAAAAATGGAATGCTGTTTAAATTCTTTAAACAAATTGTTAACATGTTCCATAAACGCTCCATCCTTTCAACCTTGAGTATGACAGTACATCAAGTTTCATGAAATCTGTAGAAAGCATCTCCAAATGTATTTTTCACATTTAAGGATAATAAGGTGACAAATAACCATTTTTAAGCTTAACTGTTTTATTTCACCATTTTTTTGTTTTCTTATACCAGTATTTACATGTAATGTTTATGACTAGACTTTTAAAAACTTAAAATATATCTATCATAATCTTAAAATTACTCCATTTTGGGAAAAACCAAATTTTGGTGAAATTTACACCTTATAATTAAATAAATATATGATACAATGTAAATACAAGCGTCTTTAACATGATAAATTTTGTGCTTTAGCAGTTTCCAGTGCATTGCTTAAAATTATGACAACATAGAAGCTTTTAAGCTGTTGCGAAAGAAAAGTTGGTTAATGTGTCGTTACACTTAAATTTAAAACACGAGAATTAGGGTACACAAAAATTCTTGGAATTGTCTAAATGTAGAAGATATCTTATTAAAAATAGTACATATATTTTCTTTCTCACTGCTCAAATTAGAAACATATATTCTTCAAAATTCATTTTCTTTTCTCAAAAATTTACTAATTTTTAAACTATTACTTCAGAAAAAGTATTACATTAATATTATAATTTGCTAAAGGTGGCATTTACAATTACTTTACTTGACAGTCAGCATTCATTCATAACATGCTTGCACAGTGTGAGATCACAGGCACAAAAAATAATAAGGTAGTTCATACATAGGTGTAAGAGTGGAATTTTGAAACACTCTTTCAATTATGCATTTTGTCTACTCCAGCGATTTCTAAAAGACAAAGTATCTCCTTTCAAATCTTGAAACATTCCGAATTTAAGTTGGACACAGCACTGAAAAAAAAATACATTAAAATTTTTAAAAGAGAATAAGAATTAAACATTAGATAATATGTAATAATAATAACAATTATGATTAAACGTTTTAAAATTTTAAACAACCTTATCTTTAAGTGATTTGAATTTTATAAAACTTAAAATATCAAATTATTATGCGATACATCAATAAAATATAGGAATACCAGAAAAGCATAAAAAAATGGTCTCCCAGATTTATTCCTTTTAATTGTATATATCTTCGAATACCTTTAAATTAAGAGAACTATTCAATGATTGTTTTAATAATGATCCAAAAATAAAAAAAAATTGTAATGTATCAGCTATTCAAAAATCATAAAAAAAAAAAAATAATCAACATTATAAACTACCTGTTTCAAAATTTTGTTTTTTGTGAATAGTGAAAGTTCCGAGTAGTTAATCCTTTATAATTTTATAAAAAAATAAAATGATACTCAGCTATATTATGTAAATTAAACAGATTTATTATTCCAGAATTAAAGATACTTATTTAGATAATAATCTGATAATATTTTAAATTTATTAAAATCAATTTATATACTAAGCGCCCAACATATCTGTAATAACTAATTCTGAGCTACCAGTTAGCCCGTGCAAATAATTTGCAGACAATTTTGTTTAGTGAAGGAATAGAAAACAAAATAGTAATAAGTAGATCATATTTATTATGTGACGGAGGCATTAATTGTTTTCCCTTGGTCGATTACAATATTTCCTTTATTTGTACATATTGCTTTTTAGTGTTTATTTTTAAATGCTGACTGGAAAGATAATATTTAAAATAAAGACTTGATCATGGGGTTTTCTAAATTATTAAAAAATATAAAATGAACTAAAAAAAAAAGATCTTTAAGAAATAATAAAATATACATCATATCAGCCAGTATAAAAAGGGTAGTAGAATAGTAAATGCAGTAAATCTAAAAAGAGGAATAAATTATTAACTATATCAAAACTAATGGACCGTATCTCTGTTACTAATTGTCCCATTTTTACGATTTTTTTATTTTATTTTGTTGGTAATTTAGTAATCTTTCTAATTATCATGGGTACAATCAAGAAAAAAATGCATAATTTTTTAGTTATTTAAGTATTTTTTCCTTTATAGTTTTTTTCCTTAAATTTTGGGAGATTTGAATATTTTTCCAACCTGAAGGTGAAGATCTTTAAAATGAGGGGGCTTAAAGTTATGGCATTGCGACAAAAAAAAAAAAAACCTTTTAAAAATAATATATAAGATAATCAGAAAAAGGCTATTCTTAATTATTACTTGGATACTGTTTCCAATCTTATGTTTAGTGACAATTAATACAAGGCAGATATTGGTACAATTGAAAATCAATGAGGGTTTCTATGAAGAAAAATGAGATTTCTTAATTTACAATATTCCTGTTTGAAATCACCTTTTTAATAATGTGTTTAAGTAAACATGTATACAAATACCTTATGAGCATAAATGTTTTCCTTCATTTGCCATAAAACTACATACTATCTCATCTTTTAATCTTGTACAGATATAGAACAATAAAAATGTCTTATATTCAGTTTAGATCATTTTACTGATCTTTTTAACCTTATGAATAAGTTGAGGATTTTTCAATTTTCACAAGTGGTCATGCTGCTAAGATTTACCAAGTGTCAAAAGTAATAGTTATAAATTAAAACTTAATTTATAATAAATGTGTTTTGGGAATAGTTTGTTACCTTTCAAGATATAATCGGTAAGCAGAGTAGGTACAGTTGGACTATCTTCATTTATTGCCTTCAAAACTAAAAAAAAAAAAAGGATAAATTATTTTTTTCAGAAAAACTTAAAACCAGCTCCTAAATATATTTTAAACATAGTATTTGTTTATGATCATATGCAAGGCAAATTTAACTTGAATTACTACATGTTTTCAATGTATTAATATTTTATTTCTTTAAATAAAACAAATAAAACTCCAATTTCGAATTTAAGTTCTAAATAGTTATTTTGAACTATGGACCACTTTTTAAATTATATATTTTCGATTGATCATATAATGAATGACCAACGTTGATTTAGAAAAAAAAAAAAAAAACACTCAAATTACATGAGAAAAAATGAGTGGGCATATTTTGATAAAGATAAAGTTAAAAAGACACACTTACTTTTAATTAAAACCTGAAGGGCTTGGTTATCCAAAGGTCCACTATCCATATGGTAAGGAATGACTGTAGTGAGGTACTGAAAAAATCAAATTTTAATATGATAAATGGCATTTTATAAGGCACTCGGGCTGAAAACCCCCCAAAATGGTAAAATATAACCATGCTTAAAGAAAAAATTATCTCTAAAAGTATTATTGTTCGTCTAATTACATTTAATAAGACTAAAAGAATCATTTAAACAACATTTCACATAGGTAGTTAGTTTTTTCTTTCTTCCAAGGTAATTATCCTAATATATACATACAAAAAAATATTTTTGGGGTGAAGCCCCTCTCCCAAAATTAAATCCTGGATCTGTTAGCGATTGTGGTCAATTTGAAATTTTCACTGAGCAATTTATCTAGCTTCACCACAGGAATGACTTCACAATTAATTTGTTTTACGCCTAAATAAATCCCACACAAAAACTTCACAATTAACATAAAACTAAATTATGAACTATATTTTTTTATTAAAAAAAATGTATAATTTTTTTATTTTTGTATGATTTTAATTTTGTTCTATTTTGTTATTCTGAAGGGACTGTGTTCCAGAATAAAGTTATTTTTCTATTCTATGCTATTCTATAAATGTAACAGTCATTATGAGTGATATTTAGATTTGATAGAATTAACAGCATTGATTAGCTAAGTTCTATATTCTAATTATTAACATAAATACATTAAATTAAAGAGTTTACTTACTTTAGAGTCAGAAATAGAAGTTTTTCCTCCTGATTTATTTTTCTTTTTCTCAACATGATGTTGCCGCCTCCTGTTCTGAACAGCTAATAGAAGGGAGATAAATGTGTTTTTCAGTTCTTTTTCATACTCTAACTCATCCCTCAATGCGAGCTCAGAGATCAGAGTTTCCGAATAATCTCTGATCAGCAACTCAAGCTCCATATACAGTTCATTCAATTGCGAAACAGAAAGTGTTTTCAATTCTATAAAAAAAATGTTTAAAAAATATATCAGCACCAAACATAAAGTGAAAAACCTTTCAATGTGAAAAATATAAAAATATTTTCTTATGAATTAAATAAATGATTGACTTAAAAATAAATAAATAACTATAATATAAGATAGAACTTCTTTGAGAAGAAAGAATGGTCTTGTTTCTTCAGAATGTGACATATTGCTAAAGTGATGAAATAGATACCTTAAGATTCATTATAACTGATACAATTAATTATTCATTTGAATAACAGTTCCAGCTATAAGATAAGTATCTGATTGTATTAAATGGAATATCAACTTTTTGGGATAAAATAACAAAACATGAAGATTTAGTCTACTTTTATTAACTAATCAAAATATGCTCTACTTACTCTGTAATTTACTTATAATAAATCAGTAATTTCCTTATTAATATTTTTTCAAATGTAAATATTAAATACTTGCTATAGTGTTTATTAATGCTGACAAATGGTTACTTACTATCATGGAACATTGGGGAATATAGAACTTGTTTAGTTTTTCTTTGCAAAGATTCTTCTGGTGTTTCAACATCTGGACTGCACTCACTTGATGTTTCCTGAAAAATCAAACATTATTTAGTAAAATATATATTCTTTTTTCTAAAAAAAGAAAGAAATTAATGTAACAAAGTTTTCAAAGCTGGAATCAAAATATAAAAGGAAAAATAAAGCTTAGCTCATAAACTTTAAAAACTTTATCTAAAAGCCAACAAATAAAGTTATTTAATTTTTTTTTCTCTTTAGTTTATACTGCTACAGTTCAATTTTTTTAGAATATTTAGGTTTCTTTGTCATTGAACTGTTGTTATAATGATGATCATTTTTATTAAATTAATTATAAAAAAGGTAACAATATTAAAACCAAAGCCTTAAGGTCACAATTGAAATTATTGAATAATTGAGACCTTTTCAAATAACTATATTAACCAACTTTTAATTAACTATAATTTTTTTTCTTACTTATATTTTAAAAGATAAAAATAATACTTTATAGTTCAAGAATTTTTTGAATATCTAAGACTGGTTTATGTATTTATTTATTTTACTAACTCACCTCCATTATATCATCAATTTCTCTGATGACTTCTTCAGCAGTTTTAAGAGGTTCAGTTTCTTGACAAAATCCAGAGAGTATCAAAGAATGCATGTCCAAGTCCGATGCAACAGCTTCATCTTCACTGCTCAGTTCACTTTCGTCTGCCTCAATCTTCTCCTAAAAGTAATAATCAATTGGATAATTGAATAAGCTAGAAACTAATACATTTTTTAAATTGCAGTTAATAAAACCCAAAGCAAAAACAGGGAATGATCATAGTCCTTATTTTCTGATGGAGAATTTCCTAATATGGTTTCTCATACGACTAATTTTATGGGAATTTATGGCTCAAATGTTGAGATGAATTCATTAAATATAAAAAAGTTATGAATTTATTATACTTATTGAATATGAGTTATTGAATTCCTGGAAAAACTTAAGACACCTAACAATTGGTATACTTTTCTTTACCATCTGAGAAAAAAAGTGGTCATTCTGAAATAATTTTTCAGATTTCCAATCAATAGACAACTATTTTCTCCTAAGGCTTTTACAATAAATAACAAGCCTTATGAAAAACTGAAAAACAAAAAATAAAATAAAAAAATTAAGAATTATATTATTTTATAAGCTCTGAAAGATCAAGTGTTTGATAATTGTTTTGATTATGTCTGCAAGATTTCAGAGTGTTAAAGTTATTAACATTGTTAAGTTTATTAAAACTGCATTTTAATGTGGCATTAACATATAAATAAATTTCTTATAAATATGTTCAAACCTTTAAATAGTCAAAAGGATCCTCAGATTCTGGGGTAAGAAAATAGATATATACATGAAATTTGTGATAAAATGAAATTCAAAGTTAATTTATGTTAAACGGCTGAAAATTTTTTGAATATTTTTTGTACTTACCAATAGTATCTCAACATTCAAACATCAACATAATTAACATATGTTAAAGAAATGATCAAATAATAAATTAAAAATAACTATTATAACCTAAAACAATATAACTGTCAAATTAAACTTCTCTTAATTGTTTTTACAATGGAAATAAAAACATTTCCATCTTCAAACATAAGATATCCTGATTCAAATTCATCACATAATACATGCAAGACCTTTAAGCATATATGAGCCAATTAGGTACAGTAACTATAATTAAATTTATAAATAAACTTTTTTTTAACAAAAATTATTAAGTTGTTGGCAAAGAAATGTAATATATGGTTTAACCTTAATCATAATTATTTTTAAAAATAAATATAATAATAATAATACAAGAAGAATTAAATATTTTTTGTCAAAAATAATCTGTCTTAATTAGTAATATAGAAACAGAATACAAATTTGAAAATCCCTAAAATATTCACAATACAATAAAAATATTATTATATTTAAATATCTTACCTTATTTTCATTTAAATTTAATGCTGGCATGTGTAATTTTCGGGCATATGATTTTGACCAATCGATAGGAAGAATGTTACCAAAGTTTCCTGTGATTGTCCACCACATCCTGAAAAAAAAAAAGAAAAATTAAAAATATTAAAAACCATTAAATTCATAATCATAAAAGGAGTTATAAATATAAATAATTGAATTATATTTATAATTCAATATAATTGGAGTATTGGATTATTTGAATTAAAATCTATTGTTTAATCAAATTTTGGCAATTTTGATTTAGGAAACTCATTGGTTGGTTACTAGTCAGTAATTCAAGAATTAATGCACTTATATGTTTTTAAAAAAGATGAATTTCATTAAATTAATGATAATTATAATTTTCTCATTGGGCACCATTTCAATTGGAAAGATTTGAACCAATAAGTAAATTCAAAAGAAATAAAATAGTCAAATAATATTTTTAATACTTGAAATTTTGTTATTAATAGAAACTTACAAGGTATAAGGTAATGCAAAAACAATTGTCTTAAATTTATTTTGTCCAAAAATATTTATATTTAATGTTTAAACTTGTATTGCCAAGGTTAGAATTTAACAAATAATTTAAGAAATATATAATTTATTTTTATGCTTGATGAGTTTTTGTGTGATGCTGAAGTGAATATGTCAGATTTAAATATGTATGTTTGAGGTAAGAAGTGTTAGAGATGATTAGAATACAGGACCCAAATATTTAAAGTGCATTGCATGAATAATTCCAAAATGAAATATTAACTAAAAAGACCCTGGGTGATCAATATTCCCGTAAGGAATGAGAAAGTATTTATAAGGTTTATAAAGTATGTTTACTTTTTTTAAACCTTCATTGCTATAAAAGTAACCAAGAATAATGAGAAAATGAAATATGCCTCTATTTTTGAAAGTACTAAATGACAAATTTACAATAAAGAAATGTATGCAGGTGCATTTTAATGAATAAATTCAGATTGGAAATATATGTAATGGGTGTGAATGTTATTTTTAAATTTTCTTTTGTAGCATAATTCTTTTGTTGAAGAAATTAATTTTCTTAAATCTGAACCTGTAAGAATCGTTTTATAATAAATTTCTAACAGAAAACAAGTCCAACTGTAATTTCAATTTTTTTTTTATTTACAAGATATTTTGTTTCCTACCTGCACTTTTATGCATTGCATGTTTTTTCAAACATTATTATCCGACAATACATAATATATCTACTTATATCATTACTTTTGTTTCTGGAAATTCTATTTCAAACTATATATATTTTTTTCCTTTTTTTTCCCTTTTACTTAATTATAGATTTCTTTCATAGTTTAAATTTGTTCACTTTTTTTAGAACGAACATTGAAATATAGTTTATCATATTTAAAAAAAACAAAAACAATATTACAGGTACTTTAGAAGAAGGCTCCCTCAATGGGATAGCTCAATGGATGAGCATTGAATTCCAGAGCTCAATGTCCCAGGTTTCAATCTGGCTGATGATTAATAATTTTCCATGGATCGATCCTGGGACCAGTAAACCCTCATGGGGCACATCCAGCCTCTATGAAATGGGTACTCTTAATAAATAATTAATAAGGAGGAAAACCTGGAGGTTAAGTGATATTTCGGCCCAATCACCTCCCTACACAACCATTGGCCTTGTAACAGTACTTCCTCACATAGTACTGAACCCAAGATCCTTCATTTTTTGGAAGGAGTATTGGATTATTTAACATTTGACATTGTAGTCTTGTCAGACTATTTCAGTGAGGATAAGAAATAGATAATATTAAAAACCATTAAATTCATAATCATAAAACGAGTTATAAATATAAATGATTGAAGCTATTTTGAGAAATTTAAAAAACTGTAAAATCAATCGTATGAAGTGACTCTTCATACTTATTATAAATTTCCAAGTTTCTTAGGACTTATCACTTTTCAGATAGGCTCTTCAAATACACGTAGACTTTTGTGTGAGTCTTAGTTATTTAAATTGAAAGAATATTAAAACGTCTCAAAGACCTGAATATATAATTCATACATAGGTTAGTGAAAGTAAAAAAAAAAAAAAAAAAAAATCAATATGATAATGTGTGAAAGTTAATGATCAATTTTACAAAGGAGATAAAAATATGATGGAACAATATTTTTGAAATAACAGGTAGAGGGATGAAATTATTTTTCTATAAAGGTTGTCCGAAAAACCACTTTACTCATTGGAAGGGTTAGTGGAGAAACATTGGTGTGGTACAAAGGGGAGGAGGTATAAATAATTAAGATATAAATAAAATAATTATTATCATTTTAAAATTCCCTATGCTAGCTTAAATATTTATATATTAAAATTTATATTAATTTTTATTATTATTTTTTGGCATAGAAGCGTAAAATGAGAATAGCCTATATACTGAAATCTTTGGAACCAACTATCTATCGAAGGAAGTCTCGACGTTAATATCGTTTGCCGCAAAAAAAAAAAAAAAAATGAAATTTTGGTTGAGACATTTTCTTTATTACATCGAAAGATAAAGCCATCTCAACACCCTGGTAAATATTGTCCTAAGCCTGCAAACGCCTCAGACAAATTGGCTATAAAGGATATAGCAGGATATAACCCCAACTAAATTGTATTATCGATTAGGTAGTATCGAGGCGCCTAGGCGGCTGTCTCCGACAAGGATCGATATTGACAGCACACTATCCTAAATAATATTTTTTATAAACAAAAGTATTAAGATATATAATTGCCGTATAATTGCATGCTCTACTGTGCCGAAATCAGAAACACTACTTCAAACAATACATATAAACAAAAATCAGAGTAAAGATCAAAGTAATTAAAATTCGGAGATCGGACGAAACAAGATTTATCCTGCTCAATACTATTCAAACTATACTGAATATTATTTAAAAGAAATGTATATATAAATATAATAAAATAGACCACTGCGTTAAATATGAAAATGGTTAAGAAAAAAAAAGTAAAAATAAGAAATTTAAACAACTCAGATAGGTAAACTAATAAGAATATTAAAAAGAAGGAAAAATATTTTCACGTTTTCCAAAAATCAATATGATGTGCTAGATGTTGATTGGTAATTTTTTCACGGTTCCTGCAAAGTAATATTTATGTAAAATACAAAATAATTCGACAATTCTACAGAGCTTTTCAACCCAAAATTTTTATTTGCTTGAAATTGGATAAAAGTATTTACCATAAAAAAATTGAAATGAAAAACTTGATTCATCCATTTTATACTTCACAGCTGACACATCAATAAAGAAACAATAATTAAAACAAGGAAAAATTAATTATGATTGATTTAATGAAAACAATTGTTTTCGAAAGGTTCTGCATTATAATTAATAATTAAATACTTTTCGGTGTTAAATTTTGTAATTTTTATTTATTAGGTTGAGAAAAACATTTTTAGTATCGTTTATTCTGCAGAAACGTACTAGAAAAGTATAGTAGACAAATTCGGTTTTTATTTCCCTGCTACGAATGTTTTGTTGTTCATTAAATTTGATTTAATTTTTTCTCTGTTGACATTAATTTTTAAATTAAGATTATTGTAAAACAAATAAAATTACTTTTATTAATTAACCTACATAAAATTTAAAAAAAAGTTTGCATTCAATCGCCCAAAATCGGAATGATACTTTTAAAAAAAACCATACAAAATGGATGACTAATGCCTACTTTATAAATAATTAAGTACCCTCTGTAATTGAATTTAATATAAAATAAATTAAACAAGTAAATAAATGTATTTAAACATATTTAATATTACTTAATAGCAATGGCACAGAACAATTAAGTTTCAAAAAGAAACGGAGGGCACATCCAGCGGATATCAGAGAGGAAGTAGGCTACGTACTTCCTCAAAGATAAACCGTGATAACGATTAGTCCATTCTATGACTTCGCCCTTTGTAATGCAAGTATTTATTACCTCAATAATTACACGTGTAATTTAAATAGTCTAATGATAGGAATGCCAAGAAAAAAAATTAAACAATGTAAGTGCATTAGGGATATTTATTAGGCACCTATAATATAGAAATATGTTATAACCACTAAGAGTTTCATATGTATTATTACAAGTTTGTTCAACCTATATTTTCATGCTATAAGTAACTAGAATGAAGATTAGCGGTAGAATTTCTAAAATGAAAAGTTGAATTCCGATTAGTTAAATTATAAATAATGATATAGATACTTCTTGAATTTCAACTAAGTCCATTATGTTTAATTTTTATTCTTGTCAAGTAAAATATGTAATTAAATATTTATTAACAAATGAAACATCTATTTATAAAAATAAATAACGCTGTATCAATTTTAAAATTGTTAGTATATTTATATTTATGAGTACAACAGATACAATTAAAATTACTGAAAGAATAACTGTTAACCACTTACAACAATAACCACATACATCTAATAAAAATAATAATAATACAATTATGTAATAATAACTATTGAAGAATCATCATTAGAAAATTAAATATTTTTAAATTATTAAATGTTTTTAAATTAAATATTATTAAATGACATGAATTTGAGTAGAAAAGAAAATATGAATATATTTTTTCACGGATGATTTCAAATACAATCACAAATAAATTTTTACCTGATCTTTACTTTAAACCAAAGACATATTTCTGTCTCTAAATATATACTTTCTTTTTTTTCAGGTAAAGGCTGACGTAAGTATAATCAACGAATGCACTCAGCCATAGGTGATAACATACATGTCAGATAATGGTTTAAAAATAAACCAGTGAATAAAAGTTTTAAATATTCACAGCGTATTTTTTAAATCCGTAATTCCAAATTTAAAAAATAACAATTTTAATAAGTTAATACAATGTTTAAAATTGTATGGGTGATTAATATAATTTACTTTATATTTTTATTACACTTAACAATTTTATTTGTACAATATTTTGAAGAAGTGAATTTATATTTGTACTCGTTGATGGCATAATAGTAACACTTATGAATATAATTTTGAATATTGAAATTTTGTAGTTAGAACTTTATCAGTCCAGAATGCATTTCCTTGGTTTTAGAACGCATGTAATAATATTTTATGTACATTCGTGTGGATGTATTTTATCATGAGTAAAATATTTAAAGTTTAATGAAATGAAATGAAATATTTCATTAAAGTTTAATGAATACGTAGAATATACAGACGACACAGATTGAAGCCTAGAATATAACAGAAAAATCCATTCATCAACCGTACACCGTTTTGTTATGTTAAAATATATTTTTTTGATTATGTATGGGCCAAGAAAAGTAATATAAATTAATCTAAATTTTGAGGTTTAACATTGCATGAAGGGTATCTAGAATCGAAAAGCCGAATTAAATAAAAAAAAAAAAAATCATCACACAACTTTCATTTATCTCTCTCTTCTTCTTTATTTATCTCTTCTTAGCAGAAATAAATATTTTCAGACAAAGGGCAAGTGAAAGTAAAAATTATTGACGCTATATTTATTTATAATTCATTGTGGGTATTTTTATTTGTTTAAATACCCTTATATATACAAATTTAAATTTTTATATCGCTGTATTCTATGCAAATTAAATATTAGATAATACCAAAGATAGCAAAAACCGCATGTGTATATGAACATAATATTGTCCGAGTCCGTATAATATGAAGCTGATGTTACATACAGGAGCCTGTTGTAATCTTTCGGACGAGCTCGGGTGAGCTCGAGCAAGCTCGAGTTCCTTTGATTCCTCTATTACAACTATTATCCGTTACGATCTCTTATTTCTTCTTCGGTTAATTATAAAATTCTTTCATATTTTATATTTAACTATTTGTTATATCAAAGATTAATGAGAAACGGTTAGTTATTTTAAATTTAAAAAATAAAGGTTCTTTAGAGGAAGCCTATATTGAAAATTAGCCATTTAGAGAACAAAAATAAGAATAAAACCTACATTATATTAAAAACTGCTTAATAATACACTGATATATTGAATTCAACCAAAATCGTTAGGGCCGTTTTTGAGAAAATCGTAAAATGTGTTAAAGCGATTAAATAAAGTACCACTTTCGGTTTGCCGATTTTGACGAAAATGTTGCTGTAACAACGAAAGCTTATAAATACCTTAAACATACAATTTCACTTTCGTACGATTTTGAGCTTGACTGATAACATACATAAAAACACAGAGACCATTTTGCGTCTTGGTTATTTGGACTCAGGAAATCTCAAAATATTTATTTCCGTTGCAAACTTTACGTATAGGTATTATTAGACTTGAACATTTTCACGATCGCCATTCTAACTCTTTCTACATATTGCATATAAAGGTAAGTGAAAGTAATATTTCGTTCTCTGTAAACAAATTGATTTATAGAATTATTTTATCCTTTTTAATTTAATTTAAATACAGGTTATTTATTTCAGAGTAAATGAGTAATGATGACATGTTTTAGTATAAATCGGTAAGTGTTTTCGTGTTTGATCTAACGTTCTTAACTGTCAAAAATCTATTAAAACGATTTTTTAACTCGGAGAAACACGCGAAGAAAGGTTTACACCCACGAAACAAAAGAATTTCGGAATGAAGTCGAACGGAGTATTAATAGAGCTCCTATTCCAGGATACGCGCCGTTTTTCATAATCAACTAACGGGCATTCGGAAATAGACGCCCTGTCAGAAGTGATTCGATCTTTAGGCATTTCTCACGTAGGGATGGGAACATTAATAGAAGACATATTTAGGGAGCCTGCTGCGGTTAACATATGCTTAGAGACGTTAAATTACAAGCATCGGGAAAAAAAATATTTGTTTACGCTTTTTAGGTCAGAGGCGCTGGGAATATTTTTTTTTTAACAAGTTTTTTTCAGGGAATCTGAGGCGACAGTGTTCCTCAAGTTTCTATAAGTTATTGTGAGATCAATGTTATATATTTTTAACTTTTATTGCCTATTTGTCTAATTACTAGTGTAATTAAATATTATTATAGTCTATGAAGACTATATAAATATTATTTTAATAAGATTATATGAATTTAATTCGTTTCATTTACTAATGTCGATGAATAACTTTCTGACAATTAATATTCTGGTATACTTACATTAAGAATTGAAAATACTTAATCAGTTAATTATAACTTTAAATATTCAAAATCATTGTTTAAAAGTACTTTTTCTAGTATCATCTATAATAGAGAGAAAAATAATCACTTTATTATCATCAAAGGTGCTATCCAATTACATTGGGTTACTACAAACACAGCATACTTATTAATCACTACAGACAATTTTTTAAAACTAATATACAATTATATAGGATTAACAATATGTATGAGCATAGTATACAATTTTTTTATATATATTTAAATATATGTATTATTATTATTTTATTTTATTTTTTATTATTTTTTTTTTTTTACAATTTCTTTCATTCATTTATTATCACTCTATATCTCCTTCTCTCCTCCTATACATTTTTCTTTCCCCTCACATTCTTTCCTCTCTCTTCCTAACCTAATTCATAAAATGCATAAAATACATAAAGTACAGTGGACGTGTTCAATAAATAATATAAAAATGAACAGTTGTAGGTTTGAATGCTGTAATTTCAGGGACTAACTCATATTTGAAAAATTCTTTTTTTGTTATTCAGGATCTTTGTTGAAGAAGGCTTCCGGCCTTTGTTATATCACTCAAAAACCCATGGGTAGGGGACAGTAAACCATAAACATCTATCAATCTGAAAAATAAAAGTAAATTACAAAAGTGTGATAGCACAGTTTGCAGTTAAAAAGGAATCGTTTGCAGTCAATACAAAGAAACCACAAGAACAAACTTTTAAGGCATGAAGGCTATTTTTTTTCTTATTCAGAACAAGTTGCGAAAAAAACGAGTATTTATTTATACCACATGGAAAAAGAACTGAAAATACCTATTATGTTTAAGTTTCTTTTAAATTGGTGAAAGAGTGTACGTAAAAATCTTTGATATTAAAAAAAGTGTAAAGAACGACATCCAGGACAGGACGACAGAGGTTGGAGGCAGCCCCTACAAGGTGGAAGCCTTGTCTCACAGGAGGGGTTGCAGGTCTCAGTAAGGAGGGGTGCCCCTCAACTTTATCCTGCTTAAAGATGTTACGGTGTATGGTTACAAGAGAGGTTCGGTAGGGCTTCCAGGGATTCTTCGAGTCAGGATTGCAGATGAACCCTATAGATAGAAACAGATAATCCGGGAGGAATTGATGGTGGTTAGCAGCTCCAGGAGGAAAGACCTTCTTTTATTATTAGTAGTAAAATGAATACTCCCGGACTACTAGGTTGGGAGCGTTCTGGCCAAACTTCACAGCTTATAAACTTCCTATGGATAATTGACCCATTATGATCCAGATGCAGCATTCCGGAAACTGCCGAAGGAATAGTAATAATTGTAATAGTAATGACATGTACCGCTTTTGAAGCGCTAAGAAACAAGCTACGGAGGAGGACGGGCATCTGCGTTTCACAGGGATTCATACTCCTTTCTTCATGAACGAAAAGAGGTACCCGTACTTCGATGAGTCCATATGCGAGGGAAGGGGAGGAGGAGAGAGAAGGTAATATCAGAGAAGTGTTGCCCAAAATCTGTCTTGTTCTTGCACTTTGCAAGACCAAGACCAAGGCCGCCGAACTGTTGCAAGACCAAGACCAGGATCGGTAAAAAAAAATCGATTTTTTGAATAAAAATGAAGGAAAAATAGTTACTAATACTTGACAGTTTAGTTGCTATTTGTAAATAATTGGTATAACCAATATAATTTTGCATTCAATTCCTCTAATTTTTCATTTGAGGTTAGTTAGGTTACTCCTATCTAAAAAATCACAGCAATATATCTACAGTAATAAGCTAATAAATAACTGTAAGACTGTTGCGAGAATCTTGCTCAAGACCAAGACCATGATCAAGACTAATTTTGCAAGGCCAAGACTCGTCTCGGTCCCGTATTTGGGCAACACTATAGCAGAGTAACTAATCTGATCATTTCAGCCTAGGCGAAGGCGGGAGTCATCTCAACGGAGAAAGTTGTTATAATTATTATTGCAAATATTTATAAGGTAGAATTAGTTTAATAGATGTACAGACGACTCTTGATAATCCGAAAGCTCGAACTCTTCACCTGTTGAGTTCAATAAATCAAAAAAATGTTGTATTTTGATAGCTCGACAACTGGAAATTCTTTTCGTAAAAAGAGAGGGAGAGAACGTTCTATAATTCGAACTAGGCCAATTCCTCCCTTTAGGATTCGAAATTTTTGCTAGTAATATTTTTTACATGAGGCTATTTGTATATAAAATTAATCTAAGCTCTAACATATTTTCAAAATATAATAAAAATTCCTAACAGTTCGATTTTTTTTTTTTTTTGTGCTCTTGATAATTTAAACTTCATGATAACTCGAAGTCTCTATAGTTGGGAGTTCTCTTGGGGGAGTCGACTGTATCATTTATGCCCCTGTGAGACCCAAACCCGCATCGCCGTAAGGCAAGGTAGGGTGTAAATAAATGTTAACAATAAAGCCAATGAAATGGTCACACTTTCAGTCATGTCTTCTTTCACTTTCTTTATTGGTTGATACTTTCGTTTTTGAAGATGAATTTCAGATGTTAATCAGTTAATCAAATGCACGTATAGACCGATGAAAGTAAGGTTATGTTTACGAAAATTCACAACATTAATTATGAATTTTTTTTATACTCTTTAAAAGTATGAAACAAACAAAAAAATTAAGAACCGTATTTTCCTTGACACTTTAATTAAAAAAAAAATATTGACAAGTTTACAAAGTGTCCAATATAAATTAAATCAAAATCGCTGTACATTTTATTGAGTGTTATCTACCGAATAGAAAAGGCGAGGAACCTATACTTTACTGAAGTGATTTTTTCCCCTTATACAGTAACACAATCCTTTTGCTTGATTTTTAAAAAAATAGATCCGTTTATAAAAACAGATGGGATGCATCAGGTTTCGACACAAAAACAAAATCTTAATTTTAGAAGATCTGAAATGAAAACTATTTATCTTGTGAAAAAGCTAGATATAATTTCATATTACAATATATTTTTAATGAATATTATTTATTTACCATTATTCTATATTTTTATGAACTTTATTCTGCGATGAAACTTTCCATGAATTACAATACTGTACAGATTAAACTCCTTCAGACAAACTGAAAATACACAAAATAATAAAGAAAGTGTAAAGGACTCACTCGTTCTAGAACGCTCGCTCTTTAGAAAAGCAAACATAATAAAAGGAAAATGTTTAAGGGCGGACGGTGTGACCCCTGGGACTAAAAGGTCGCAGAAGCAATCCCTGAACTAAATGGGTTGGCCCAGTTCCGGAAACTTCCAGTTAATAAAATTGTGGAAGAGATTGAATAGATATATATGTCCTTTATTTTTATATCGACATTATTTTTGTCTCCATTTAATACTTTTTAAAATAAATTGACGCAATAACAAATTCAAGATTTAATTTTTCTTTATACAATATCGGTAATTTCACGAACTATACTGATTTTAGGGATATAAATTATATATATATATATATATATATATATATATATATATATATATATATATATATATATATATTTAAATGATGCTTATATTTAGCAGCTGAAGTACATGCATTATAATTTAAAAATATATTATAATCTAATTGTTTAAGTATTTGGCTCAGATCATTCATAGAAATGAAAATGGACCTATTTTAAGGGGTTTCAGCCCAACCCCCTCTCCCTCAATCAGCTGGTGCAGTGACGTATTGCACGCTAATACATTTTCTTTTTAATATAAATAAAATATAGTTACAAGTTTTTTTTTTTTTTTTTTATTAATCATCATTTGTTATTATTAAACTTATCTGATATTTAGTATATTTACTCTAAAATTCCCTAATACTTCTCTGTATAAGGATGACCAGATCAAATTCATTTAGTTATATTTTATAGTTATAAAACATTTAGCAAGGTTGTTAGCTGACATAAACTCACTGTATGTTTTTATTTCAAAAATCTTCTTCGACGTATTCACACACATTTATAGAATATTATCAAAAATAAGAAAATTTAAAAAATCTATAAATACAACATTATTTATAAAGTATTAAATTTTAAAAAAAGTATTTATTAATTTTTATATTGCATTGCATAATCCGAAAATAATATCCAATCCATAAATTCCTTGCACAATAAACGGGTAAATTTTATCCATTAATCATAACAATATTTTTCTTTTATTCTAAAGGTGTAACGAAATTATAAATTTACTAATTATTTTTAAGTAATTAGTGGCTGTAATAATGTGTAGGTAGTGTAAATACGATTATTGTCGGAAGCAGAACTATCCAAAACGTACACACACCCATACTTGTGTTAAAAGGATGTTTCAAGCACAATTTATTGTATAAAACTGATAAAATAAATAAATAATTAAATAGTTTTATTAATGATGAACACATAATTACATAATTAGCATAGTCAGTAATACATTATTATACAGCTTTTACCGATTAAGTTTTGACTTATTGTTAGTGAAAACAATTCTTTTTTTTTTTTATTTGTTTTGCTGATGGTTATTTATATCTAATTATTTTTGTGTTTATTTATTTTAAAATGTTTCTAATGACTAGATACGTTTCTTTTTTTTTTTTACATTAAT